TTCTGATTTTAAAATTCTGATTTCTTATAATTCTGATTTTTTAAAATTCTGGTTTCTGATTTTTTAGAACATTAATTTCTGATTTTTCTGATATTCAAAATTCTGATTTCTGATTTTTTCTGATTTCTAAAATTCTGATTTCTGATTTTTTCTGATTTCTAAAATTCTGATTTCTGATTTTTCTGATTTCTAAAATTCTGATTTCTGATTTTTTCTGATTTCTAAAATTCTGATTTCTGTCTTTTTAAATTCTGATTTATAATTTTTAAGGTAAAAGAGTATAGAAAACGTAACGCTATAACGGAGACGCTATAACGGAGATGGAGGCATACGCTCCTACTCACGTTATCAATAGAATCCGTCAGGAACCAAAATTACCCATTTCGTAGTTTTTCTGATTATTTTACATTTTGAAATATTTTTAAAAATTTTCCTTCCAAAAATTTTTTAAAAAATTTATTTACCCCCTCAGGCGTTTTTATCACCATCTCTGTTTTTTCAAGGGCTTTATTCCTCCCATCTTTTTCAACATCCCCGACAACCACGTCTTCTTTCATCTTTTCCTCCCCTCCATTAATTTTCTTCTTCTTCCTCTCCCCCTCAATTTCCTTCAAAAAAATATTTTCTTCTTCATTTTGAATTAAATTATTTTTTAATTCGCCAGCTGAGCGCTTTCTATTAATTCGCGCAATAACAGATGGTGTTGTCATTGATGAAAGGTCATTAATGCTAGATTTTTTGTTGTTGTTGTTGGGAGGGGACTGTGGGGAATGGGCACTGCGCGAAATTAGGGCAGATGATGATAAGGCTTAGAAAAATTTTTTGAAATTTTTTGAAAATTTTTTTTGAAAATTTTAATGCCTAAGAGGTCTTCACAGTTAGGCATGAAACCCTCTATTTAATAAACGCCATTATATATTTTTATAGGGTGAAGGGAACATTCTTGATAGTGCGAAGGGCACAATCATAGGCCAGAAGGAACATGTTCCTTTCACACTACCTGTGGGCTGAGAGGAACATCTCATAGTGTTCCTTCCACCCTACTTATTGGCTGTAAGGAACATCTCAAGTTGTTCCTTTCACACTACTTGTGGGCTGGAAGGAACATCTCATGATGTTCCTTTCACACTACTTATGGGCTGAAAGGGTCATTTCATGATGTTCCTTTCACCCTACTTATGGGCTGGAAGGAACATGGTGTTCCTTCCACCCTACTTGTGGGCTGGAAGGAACATCTCATGTTGTTCCCTTCACACTACTTGTGGGCTGGGAGGAACATATCACACATACTTGTGCTAAGCATACCCTCCATTTAATATACACCCCATAAGTAATCTACTACTATTTTTTCACTCATAGGGGTATTTATGGGGTAGTTTTATAAGGGAGGTCTGAGTTTAGAATATTTTTAAAATTTTACATTTATTATTTTGCCGTTGTTCCAGCTGATATTGATTGGAAATTAACTGACAGTCGTTAATTAAGTTGTCCATATTAGAGGCATTTTAAGTTAAAAAATTTTAGAAAAATTTTTAGAATTTTTTTGATTTTTAAAAATCAAGAGATTAAAATCTCAGCTAAATAAAAATATTTTTAAAAAATAATAGAGTCCATTAAATAAAAGAAATATGCGCAGAGTTATTTTTAAATGTTTTTGCTGAACTGCAAAAATATTTATAGAAAAGGGGGCGTGGCCAAACAAACAACACGGGGGGGATGGGCGTATAAATGAGTTAATAAATTATTAATAATTTTTTGTTCTTGGGGTATAATTAGGGGTAAAAGGATGTAAAAATTTTTAAAAATTTTTTATTCTAATAGTAGCCTCTTCATTCTGTCCTCTCCATTATACTATTTTTCTAATATTTCTAGTATTCTAATAGTAGCCCCCTCATTTTTATTCTAATAGTAGCCCCCTCATTTTTATTTTAATAGTAGCCATCTCATTTTTATTCTAATAGTGGCCCCTTAATTTTTATTCTAATAGTAGCCCACTCATTTTTATTCTAATAGTGGCCCCTTAATTATTATTCTAATAGTAGCCCCCTCATTATTATTCTAATAGTAGCCCTTTTGGTTTCAGTGGGACCATTTGTCTTCAAAAGTAAACAAAAAATTTTCTTTTTTTCTTATCATTTATCAATTTGTTTTTGTGTACTTTTATCTTTTTTTGTCAATTTTATCAATCTAGAGGAAGGAGAAAAAAGTTAAAAGCCGAAAAATAATAACCAGTCGTTGCTCTTTTTATTTTAATTTATTTTTTTCAATTAAAAATCGCTTTGCGACATTTGAGAACACACGACATTTGCGAATTTTTAGCATAACTTTTTTGAACTTATCTTAAAAATATGCTTTTAATTTAAAAAAATTAGGCTTGAAATTACGCTCATTTTAAAACAAAAAACATCAAAATCGGCCAAATTTTGGAAAAGTTATGACCATTAATATACTTGTTTCAGGCCAAAATTCTTAGTTTTTAGGCCATAACTTATTGGAAAATTTTGGACCCTTATCAATTTTGGTACCAATCTCTTTAGCTATATCAGAGGAATCGTTTAATACTAAATTTTCAAAGATTCCGAAATTTTGAAGCAAGTTATGGTCTTGCGCCTACTTGGCCGCGCGCCTACTTGGGCTGTACCACTTTATTTTATAGCCTTAATTTTTTTCAAACTTTTATTATTTTGTGGATAATTATTAGCTTGTTTTTATAAAATTAGAAACTTACATATTTTTTCTCTCATTAATTTTGTACTTAATTTAATAAAAATTGTCCGCAAGCATACACCTCGTTTCAGTCTGGACTCAGTTCAGTCTGGCGCCTATAACTTTTGAAGGGGCAGATAATTTTTAATGTTCTTGGTACCATTTGATAGAGCATTAAATAAGCTACAATATACCAGAAAATCAGAATTCTTGACTAACTGGTAAAAAAGTTATGTTCGAAAAAGCGCCAAAAAATCACGTTTTTTTGAAAAAGTTGATTTTTATATCATAACTTTTTTATCAATCAATCAAAAATTCTGATTTTTTGAAATGTTGTAGAGCTTTAGATTCTCTATCCAATGATACCAAGAACATGAAAAAGTGACCATTTCTTGCTGAGTTATAGGGTTCAGACTGAGCTGAGGTGCTAAGTGTACTCAAATGTCGTGTACTCAAATGTCGCACAATATCCCTCTTTTTTGCTCTCAAATATAGTTACTGAACGTCCCTGCTTTTAAAAAATGTGTAGTCATGAACCGACTACTTTTAATAAATTTTTCCTTATGATAACCAAGAAAAACGTCCATTAGTGAAATAAGTTGCAAAATGGTCAATTTATTAAAATTACCTTAAAAAATTTTTTTTCGATAATTTTTCAAAAATTTTATTTTTTTAGTATTTTTTGGCATGAATGATCCGACGTTTTATATTCCATCAGGTTTTTAAATTTCAAAAATCCCCCCAAAATTCCCCAAAAAAAATATTTTTTCAGATCTACAAAATTTTTAATTTCTTCTGGCGACAACTTTTTCGTTGGATTAATTTAAAACAATTTGCCCAGCTTTTGGGAAATTTCGTTCTCGTCCTCTCCTTTTCGTTAATTACCCCAGCTCTGCTACGCCCCGTTTTTGCTACTAGTTTTACAGAGCTGCGACAACCTTTAGAATTTACGTTTAAAACTTGTATGATAGAATTGGCTGGGGTTTGTTCTTTTCCGGAAGCAGAGTTTTGGGTGGAGGAGGTTCTATAATATAATTATTTAAAACTTTCCGGAAATGTTTATATTTACTTTTCCGGAAAGTTTATTTATATTAATATATTTTCCGGAACCACACGAACTTTCCGGAATATAATATTTTATTTTCCGGTTACAATCATTTCCGGAAAGTTTATTTTATAAATTTAAAAAAACCTTAAATATAATACAACAATTTTCCGGAAAAGGTTAAGGGTAAACACACCAACTTTCCGGAACTAGAATATTATTCGTTTATTTTTACCAAACTTTCCGGAAATGTTTATATTTACTTTTCCGGAAATTGAATAAAAAATGTTACAAGTTTTATATTTTAATTCCGGAAAGTTTATTTTTAATTTACTTCTCGGAATCGCAAAACTTTCCGGTTATGAAATATTAAAATTTGTGTTTTTTGTATTTTCCGGAAAAGGTTATAACATTTCCGGAAAGTTTATTTTATAAACTGAAAAAGTTTAAATACCAACTTTCCGGATCTAAAATATTAAAACTTAGTTAATTTTTATTTAATTTCCGGAAATGTTTATATTAACTTTTCCGGAAAGTTTGTCTATATTTATTAAAATATAAAACTTTCCGGAACGGAAATATTAAAACTTGTATTTTTGTGTTTTATTTCCGGAAAGTTTTATCAAGTTTTTAAGTTTTATTTTTTTATTTTATTTTACCAACTTTCCGGAGAAGTTTATATTAACTTTTCCGTAAATAAAATACAAAACAACAAGTTTTCGTATTTTTAATTCCGGAAAGTTTATTTATAGTTGTACAAGAAATTTTATTAAAACTTGCTTTATTTAAAATTCCGGAAAAGTTTATAATCATTTCCGGTAAGTTTATTTTATTGACTAAAAAACAATCTACAAAAATTTTCCGGAAAAGTTTTATAGAATTTATACACACTAACTTTTAAAAAAACTTAGTTGTGTTTTTATTCATTTTCCTGAAATGTTAATATAATTATTTCCGGAGGTAAAATACAAACCAACAAGTTTTATTATTTTTAATTCCGGAAAGTTTATTTATAATATACTTTCCGGAAATTAAGATGGTAAAGTTGTGCTTTTTTGTATTTTCCTAGATTCCGGAAAAATTTTATTTTATGAACTAAATATTAGAAAATGTATTTTTTCCGGAAAGCTTTTTTAGAGTTAATATACCGCAATAAATACTAATACTTGTGTTTTCTTTGTATGTTATTTCCGGAAATTTTTATTTAATCATTTCCGGAAAATTCGAAAAAAAAATTTTTTTAGGCAGGAATGCGTCTCCACCCTTATTATTACTACAGTTTTGTGCTCGACCTCATTCTCTATGATACTCAACAAAATCGTGCATTATCTTTAATGATTGGGAATATTCAATTGAAAAATGGACAAAACAAATTACTAGCAAATTTCCACAAAAGTGTGCCTGTTTTTAAAGCATTTCCTGGACGTTCTATTTTTTCACATTTTTATACTTTGGTGGGTTTTGAACTTTTTAATAATTTTTAAAATTAATTCCGGAAGGTTTAATATATTTTCGGAAAGTTAAATATATTTTCGAAGGGTTTTATATAGTTTTCTATAAGGTAAATATATTTTCCGGAAAGTTAAATTTATTTTCCGGGAATTTTAATATATTTTCCGTAAGGATTTATTATATTTTCCGGAAGAGTTGAATATTTCCGGAAAGTTTAATTTTTTTTTCGTCAGATTTAATGTATTTTACGGAGGGTTTAATAGTTTTCCGGAAATCTAATATATTTTCCGGAATGTGGAATATATTCCGGAAGGTTTAATAATTTCCCAAAGGTCCTGTATTTTCCGGAAAGTTTTATATTTCTGGAATTTTAGTATATTTTCCGGAATGTCTAATATAATTTCCTGAATGTTTAGCAATCTTCCGGAAAGTCTAATAATTTTCCGGAAGGTTTAATATTTTTTCCGGAATGTTTTTACAAACTTTCCGGAACAGTTTATATTCTCCGAAAAGTTTAATTTTTCCTGGAAAGTTTAATATATTTTCCGGAATGTTAATATATCTCCGGAAAGGTAGTATATTTTCCTGAAGGTCTAATATACTTCCGGAAACTTCTTTATTTAATGTTTTCCGGAATGTGGAATATATATCCCGGAACAGTTTATATTTTCCGGAATGTTTAACATATTTTTCCGGAAATACTTTCCCTAATTATATTCTCCATCCTTTTAAGACTCGTAATACAGTATTTTGGCCTTTATGGATAGTCGGTTATTTCTCCACAAATTCTGACGTTTCCGAACAATTGACAGCATTTTAATTAATTTTTAAAAATGTTTCGAAATTTTGTTTACGAAATTTTGAGAAATTTCGTCTTTTTGCTTTCGAAATTTCGTTTTTGTTTCGAGATTTCGTCTTTTTTTTGAAATCTCGTCTTTATTTCGAGATTTCGTTTTGTGAGGCAGAACGGAGAAGTACACGAAATTTCGTATTTCTTCGAAATTTCGTCTCTGTTTCGAAATTTCGTTATTGTTTCAAATTTCGCTTTCGAAATTAGGGGGTGTGGCAGAACGGAGAAGTATTTGAAATTTCGTATTTCTTTGAAATTTCGTCTCTGTTTCGAAATTTCGTTATTTTCGAAATTAGGGGGTGTAACAGAACGGAGAAGTACCCGAAATTTCCTATTTTTTCGAGATTTCCTTTTCGAAATTTCGTATAGTTTCAAAATTTCGTTTTCGAAATTAGGGGGTGTAACAGAACGGAGAAGTATTTGAAATTTCGTATTTCTTTGAAATTTCGTCTCTGTTTCGAAATTTCGTTATTGTTTCAAAATTTCGTTTTCGAAATTAGGGGGTGTAACAGAACGGAGAAGTACCCGAAATTTCCTATTTTTTCGAGATTTCCTTTTCGAAATTTCGTATAGTTTCAAAATTTCGTTTTCGAAATTAGGGGGTGTAACAGAACGGAGAAGTATTTGAAATTTCGTATTTCTTTGAAATTTTTTCGAAATTTCGTCTTTGTTTCGAAATTTCGTTTTTGAAATTAGGGGGTGTGGCAGAACGGAAAAGTTTCGAAGAAATACGAAATTTCGTCTTTGTTTCGAAATTTCGTATTTGTTTCGAAATTCATATTCGAAATTTTGTCTTGTTTCGGAATTTCGTTTTTATTTCGAAATTTCGTTTTCGATCGTTTTCGGAATTTTGTCTTTATTTCGAAATTTCGTGATTTTATTATTTTTTCTTTTAATTTCAAATTTATTTTTTTCAGCTTTCCTCAGCAACACTCCGAATCAGAACACACATAGGCCTTTGGAGTTACTTCTTGAGTGAATACCCTATAAGTTCCTATTTTGTTTTAGTTGCTGTTTGTTTCGTTTTGTTCTTTTCTATTTTTATTTTATATTATTTGTTCAATTTTGTCAAAAGATTATTTCATTTTTAAATTTTTTGTAGAAAATTTTATTTAGCAGGCCAGTTAAGCGTGCAAGTACCACAGAGCTGGCCAGCCGTCTTTGATCGACTATAACTTTTTCTAGCTTGATCATATCCGAATAAATTTTATATCATTCGAAAGCCCTCGATGAGCCCAATCTTTTTCCTAGCAGGATGGATCAGGTATGATCACCCATTGAAAAGTTACAGGTCGATAAGTGTGAAAAACAACGATTTCTTGCACTTATCGACTTGTAACTTTTTAAATAGCGATAAGACTTGATCAATCCAATTGAAAAAAAGATAGCGCTTATCGAGGGCTTTTGAATGATATATGACTCATTTGTATTGGATCAGGCATCAAAAAGTTATAGCCGATCAAAATTCGGCTGACGCTCAACAGCCCACGCTCAACTGCCCTAACCCAAGATTTATTCTCATTTTCGCAATTATATTTATTTTCCAGACGCTTATTCACTTGTATATGTGATAGACTGAATAAAATTTTTAAGGATTTCTTGTTGCCAAGTCGGTAAAAACTGGGGTGTTCCCCGTCCCATTTGAGAGATTTTTTTGGAAATTCCCCGTCCACCCCCCCCCCCTTCCCATCCCCCGTGGCGCCGTCTCCCTTCTCTCATTCTCCCAGGTTCCCCCCCCCCCTGTCGGAGAACAACTTTAGTAGTAACACATAGGCCTTTGTTCACTTACACTCTCCCCTCTTTTTTTCTTTCTTATGAATGAGTTGTCGGTTCGGAACTGAAAAACCGAAACGAAGAACTGAGACGAAGAACTGAGTACAACCCTAGGTCAAGGTATCGCCGAGCTATAACTTTGTTCAGAATATTCGAATCCGGGATGCCATGGCATTGTTCGACGCCCTTCGATGAGCTGGATCAACCCTGCCAGGGCGTCCCGGACTATCTACTCTAATTAGGTCTTTTGTACTATCTAAACTGATTAGGTCTTTTGTACCTTGTTGTTGTGTACCATTTTGTCAGGGCACTCGTTGTTTACATTTTAAATTTTGAAAGAGTAAGACGCTAAGTTTTAATTCTCTTTCATGTATTATTTTCTTTTTTCTATTGTCTTTTTATTGTTTACTACTTTAGAAAACTTTTCGTTTCAATAAAAATTCTGTTTACACAATCAAAAAAATTTTCACGTGGACCATCAAATTAATATTAAAAATTAAAAAAATCGCTTTGCGACATTTGCGAACATACGACATTTGCGAATTTTTAGCATAACTTTTTTTGAACTTATCTTAAAAATATGCTTTTAATTTTAAAAATTTAGGCTTGAAAATACGCTCATTTTAAAAAATATAACATTAAAACCTGTTAAATTTTGAAAAAGTTATGGCCACTAATATACTTGTTTCATGCCAAAATTCTTAGTTTTTAGACCACAACTTTACATAACTACCTGAAAAATTTTTGACCCTTATCAATTTTGGTACCAATCTCTTCAGCTCGATGAGAGGAATCGTTTAATACTAAATTTGGTAGAATTCGGACATTTTGAAGCAAGTTATGGTTTTGCGCCTGCTTGGCCGCGCGCCTACTTGGGCTGTACCCCTTTATTTTATAGCCTTAATTTTTTGAACTTCTTTTATTATTTTATGGATAATTATTAGCTTGTTTTTATGAAATTAGAAAGTTGCATATCCGTTCTTTCAGTAATTTTCTGCTTAATTTAATAAAAATTGTCCGCAAGCATACACCTCGTTTCAGTCTGGACTCAGTTCAGTCTGGCGCCTATAACTTTTGAAGGGGCTGATAATTTTAATGTTCTTGGTACCATTTGATAGAGCATTAAATAAGCTACAATATACCAGAAAATCAAAATTCTTGACTAACTGGTAAAAAAGTTATTTTCGAAAAAGCGCCAAAAAATCACGTTTTTTTTGAAATGTTGGTTTTTATATCATAACTTTTTTATCAATCAATCAAAAATTCTGATTTTTTGATATATTGTAGAGCTTTTGATTCTCTATCCAGTGATATCAAGAATTTGAAAAAGTGACCATTTCTTGCTGAGTTATAAGGTCCAGACTGAACTGAGGTGCTCCGTGTGATCAAATGTCGTGTACTAAAATGTCGCACAATATCCTTCTTTCTCGCTCTTAAATATAGTTACTGAACGTCCCTGCTTTTAAAAAATAACTAGTCATGAACTGGCTACGTTTAATAATTTTTTCATAAAATAACCAGGAAAAAATGTCCAGTGGTCAAAAAAGTTGCAAAATGGTCAATTTATTAAAATTACCTTAAAAAATTTTTTTTCGATAATTTTTCAAAAATTTTATTTTTTTAGTATTTTTTGGCATGAATGATCCGACGTTTTATATTCCATCAGGTTTTTAAATTTCAAAAATCCCCCCAAAATTCCCCAAAAAAAATATTTTTTCAGATCTACAAAATTTTTAATTTCTTCTGGCGACAACTTTTTCGTTGGATTAATTTAAAACAATTTGCCCAGCTTTTGGGAAATTTCGTTCTCGTCCTTTCCTTTTCGTTAATTACCCCAGCTCTGCTACGCCCCGTTTTTGCTACTAGTTTTACAGAGCTGCGACAACCTTTAGAATTTACGTTTAAAACTTGTATGATAGAATTGGCTGGGGTTTGTTCTTTTCCGGAAGCAGAGTTTTGGGTGGAGGAGGTTCTCTAATTTAATTATTTAAAACTTTCCGGAAATGTTTATATTTACTTTTCCGGAAATTGAATAAAAAATGTTACAAGTTTTATATTTTAATTCCGGAAAGTTTATTTATAATATACTTTCCGGAACCACACGAACTTTCCGGTTATGAAATATTAAAATTTGTGTTTTTTGTATTTTCCGGAAAAGGTTATAACATTTCCGGAAAGTTTATTTTATAAACTGAAAAGGTTTGAAATACAAACTTTCCGGATCTAAAATATTAAAACTTAGTTAATTTTTATTTAATTTCCGGAAATGTTTATACTAACTTTTCCGGAAAGTTTGTCTATATTTATTAAAATATAAAACTTTTCGGAACGGAAATATTAAAACTTGTATTTTTGTGTTTTATTTCCGTAAAGTTTTATTTGGTTAATATATTAACCAAATAAAACTTTCCGGAAATAAAATAAAAGTTTTGTCGCTTTTATTTAAAACTTTACGGAAAAGTTTATATTAACTTTTCCGGAAATAAAATACAAAACAACAAGTTTTTGTATTTTAATTCCGGAAAGTTTATTTATAGTTGTACAAGAAATTTCCGGAATTAAAATATTAAAATGTGTTTTATTTAAAAATTCCGAAAAAGTTATAATCATTTCCGGTAAGTTTAAAGTTGTGTTTTTTGTATTTTATTTCCGGAAAGGTTTATAGACTTCCGGAACAAACACATAAATTTTGTGTTTTTGTATTTTATTTCCTAAATTCCGGAAAAGTTTTAACTATTCTCGGAAAGTTTATTTTATCAATTTTATTTTCCGGAACTAGAATATTAGAAATTTTATTCTTTATAATTTTATTTCCGGAAAGCTTTTATAGGGTTAATATATCGCAACTTTCCGGAAATAAAATACTAATACTTGTGTTTTCTCTGTATTTATTTCCGGAAATGTTTATAGAGTTACTTTTCTATTTATAATTTCCGGAAACTTTGATTTAATCATTTCCGGAAAATTAAAAAAAATTATTTCAGGCAGGAATGCGTCTCCACCCTTATTATTACTACAGTTTTGTGCTCGACCTCATTCTCTATGATACTCAACAAAATCGTGCATTATCTTTAATGATTGGGAATATTCAATTGAAAAATGGGCAAAACAAATTACTAGCAAATTTCCACAAAAGTGTGCCTGTTTTTAAAGCGTTTCCTGGACGTTCTATTTTTTCACACTTTTATACTTTGGTGGGTTTAAAGAATTTTTAATATTTTTAAAAATGATTCCGGAAGGTTAAATTTATTTTACGGAAGGGTTTATATATTTTCCGGAAAGGTTAATATATTTTTCCGGAAAGTTAAATTTATTTTCCTGAAGGTTGAATATGCTTCCGGAAAGTTTAATGCTTTTTCCGGAAGGATTTATTATATTTTCCGGAAGAGTTGAATATTTCCGGAAGGGTTGAATATATTTTACGTAAAGTTAAATTTATTTTCCGGAAAGTTTAATGTATTTTCCGGATGGTTTAGTAGTTTTCCAGAAAGTCTAATATTTTTCCGGAATGTGGAATATATTCCGGAAGGTTTAATAATTTTCTGGAAGGTCCAATATATTCTGGAAAGTTTTTATAGATTTTCCGGAAACTATCATACATATTTCTCTAATTTTAATATATTTTCCGGAAGGTTTAGCAATTTTCCGGAAAGTCTAATATATTTTCCGGAAAGTTTTTACAAACTTTCCGGAACGGTTTATGTTTTCCGGAAGGGTTTATATTTTCCGGAAGTCTAATATATTTTTCCGGAAGCATATATTCATTATTATATTCTCCATCGTTCTAGACTCGAAACACAGTATTTTGGCCTTTATGGATAGTCGGCTATTTCTCCACAAATTCCGACGTTTCCGAACAATTGACAGTGCATTTCCCAAATTATTATATGGAAAAACCTGACGACCAAGCGACTAAACAAATTATTGTGCAATTACAAAATAAATTTATTCAGGCACTTTAATTAATTTTTAAAAATGTTTCGAAATTTTGTTTCCGAAATTTCGTTTTTTTCGAAAGTTTGCTCGAATTTTCGTCTTGTCTCGAAATTTCGTCTTTTACCCGAAATTTCGTCTTTTTGTTTCCGAAATTTCGTTTTCTCTCGAAATTTCGTCTTTATTTTGAGATTTCTTCTTTGTTTCGAAATTTTGTTTTCGAAATTAAGGGGGTGTGGCAGAACGGAGAAGTACTCGAAATTTCGTATTTCTTCGAAATTTCGTCTCTGTTTCGAAATTTCGTATAGTTACAAAATTTCGTTTTCGAAATTTTGTCTTTTTTCCGAAATTTCGTCTTTCGAAATTTCGCTTAATTTTGAAATTTCGTTTTTGTTTCGGAATTTTGTTTTTGAAATTTCGCCTTTGTTTTCGAAATTTCGCCTTTGTTTTCGAAATTTCGTGATTTTATTATTTTTTCCTTTAATTTTAAAATTTATTTTTTTTCAGCTTTCCTCAGCAACACTCCGAATCAGAACACACATAGGCCTTTGGAGTTACTTTTTGAGTGAATACCCTATAAGTTCCTATTTTGTTTTAGTTGCTGTTTGTTTCGTTTTGTTTTTTTCTATTTTTATTTTATATTATTTGTTCAATTTTTTGAAAAGATTATTTCATTTTTAAATTTTTTGTAGAAAATTTTATTCTCATTTTCGCAATTATATTATTTATTTTCCAGATGCTTATTCACTTGTATATGTGATAGACTGAATAAATTTTATTAATGATTTATCTTTAATATAGTGGTCAATATAAGAGTTGAATTATTTGATAAAAAAGAATTTTTTGCAATTATTAATTCAAGAAATAACATATATATAATAATATAACATTGACCTTCATTTATATTTACATGCATAACCTTTTCTATCCGTTATTCAAAAGATCAAGATAAATAATGTTGAAGCAACCTTTGAGGAATTTGCGTTACTAATTATTAAGATTAATTTTTCGTTAGATCGTATATAAAGTGCGTTCCTTACCCTATTGGTTCATTCCAACATTTCATTCCATTATTTATTCTACCCCTTCTCTCAAATCCATATTCCCGAATTAAATCCAAAATGGTCCCCATTCCCGTTTATTTCTCCCTCTTCCTATTTGTTTTTATTAATGAGTTAAGTATTTGTAGCTAATATGTACCCAACAAATTAACTGTGGTTTCTGACGCACGTTATCGTCTGCGAAAAATTGTATTATTTTTCCAAAACTAAATGAAAAATATGTACTAATTCACATGAAGATTTTTTAATAAACCCCTTGGGGGGGGGTATTTTATTAGGGTTCTAGGGTTCTTCTGTAGGAGTTTTTTAACCTTAGTTCTTCTCTAGGGTTCTTCTATTTTTTTAACCGAAGAACCAAAAAATCCTCGGTTCTTCTGTTCTCTGTTCCAACAAGCCAAAGGTACAGATAACTTCGTTAAAATTGCCGAATCAGGGACTACTAGTATGTTTCGATTCGGATCGTCTATGCGAATTGAACCATGCCAGGGTGTCTTGGATTCGACAATTTTGAACGAAACCGACACTCCCCATTTGTCAATTTTAATTTTTATAATCTTTAGTGTCCAGTAGAGAAGTCTGAAGACACAGTCGAGGATCAAAAGCGGTATTTTTGTGCTGATGCCGTCTTTGTAGCCTCTGATGCCGCCGGGTCGGCGTGTAGAAAAAGTGTGGTCAGAGCTGCTGGCTATATCCACTGCGAAAAGCTGGTTTTTAACGTTTCCTCCGTGGAGACCTCATGCAGGAATAACTTGAAGCATGATATGGAAGTCTCGCAAAATAACTATTGCAGACTCTCCGTATTCGTGAGTGAAGATTGCTGCAGAAAGATAGGTAATTATCAGAGGTGGATTGGAAATGAGGTGCCGGAAATCGGAACAGTCGGAAATGGCTTAAAAAGCGGAAATCAGCCTAAATTGTCGGAAATCGGAAGGAGAAAAACGTCGGAAATCGGAATTCTGATCTACCTTTGGTACTTATTTAGTATCCCATTCCTTTTTGAGTCTCAGATTAATTTTTGTAAAATGCCTGAGAAAAATAAAGTTTGACAATAAAAAGAAAATTAATCTGAGACTCAAATAGGGAGGGATGGGATACTAAATAAGTACCGAAAAATAGTTTCGGATGTCATGAAAGTTATGGAGCCTGTCTGTGCACCTCTTGCTGTGGCTGTAGTTAATTTTTCAACATCTCTATGCAGAGTAGTTAAAAGTGTTGCTGTTGCTGGGGCAAATGAGGGGTGTTCTACCTCAATTGCGGAACTCTCTGCAGCATCCCAGAGAGGCTGCCACGAAGCCTTGGGAGTCTCTAATGTCAAAAAATTAATTTGGTACTTAAATTTTTTGCTTTTATTACCTATAATTTCATTTTAGTATACAAAAAATATAGTTATTTTTTAAAATAATACATTTAATTCAGATAACGTTCAACGTGACGCAACATCAACTGATTAAAATGGCGCGAATTACAATAAAGAAAAGGGATTTATGCTGATATTTGTCTATAAAAATACGAATTAATGATATTAACTTTATTGAGAATGTATAAACTTTAAATATTAATTTTGAGTTTTATGTGTTGGTTGAATGGTTAGGTTGTTCGCAAAATAGAAGTTTAGACTTTTAATTTTAATTAAAACTGTCAAATTATTTTTGCTATTATCTAGCGTGAAAAGCAACTAAAAAAATCTATCATCCTTTCTACCATCCTTAGTTCTATCATCCTTAATCCGACATCCTCCTTAATCTGATATTTTACTTCAAATATAAGAGAGAAGATATCGCTCAACTATTTTTCAGAATATCTCATTAAATAGAACGATTTAATAAAAAATTTATTCAATTACAAATTTATTTTTTATATCAAAATACATCCCCCGCAATATATGACTTCCCAGGATAGCAACGATTTAGGCATTCTTGTGTAAAGCAACATGCTTCTTTCGTCTCCTCTATGTTGCAACCAACATTACAACATTTGTTTTTAATGCGGTCTTCTAGAAAATTTTTGGGAAATTTAAAAAGTTAAGCGTGTCTCTTACTTGTGTTAAGGTGAAGTTGAAGACACGGATCGTATTCACCGGGCCATTTGCATATCTGTTAGAATTAAAACAGTAGAGCCTCATTTGGGACCTCAATGAGACCCTATTCACCTCATTACCGCACCTCATTCAGACTCATTTACCTCATCAGACCCCACCCTCTTATGTTCCTTTCACACTACTTGTGGGCTGGAGGGAACAAATTATTGTGTACCCTTCACACTACTTGTGGGCTGGAGGGACTTAATCCTTATTATGTACCTTTCACCCTACTTGTGGGCTCGGGAGGAACATATCTCTGTAATGTACCTTTCACCCACCTATGGGCTGGAGGGAACATATCTTTGTTATGTACCCTTCACCCTACTTATGGGCTGGAGGGAACATTTTTGCTACGTACCCTTCACCCTACTTGAGGGATGGAAGGGTGGTATGTACCTTTCACATTATATATGGGCTGAAGGGTACATTTTTTATTATGTTCCCTTCACTCTATACGAGGCTGGGAGGAACATCCTTTTATATAACCCTTTTAGATCGGTGTTCTTTCCACAATCTTGTGGGCTAAAGGGAACATCTTTATTTGTATCTTTCACACTACCTCTCCTTCCACACTGTCCTGGGCTGGAAGGCCCCATCTCTATTTAGTTCCCTTCACACCATACATAGGCTGAAAGGAACATCTTGGGGTGTTATCATCTGCTCCCCCTATGACCAAACAAGAGCTTACCTTAAATAGAGGTTTATATAGAACTGGGAGTGTTTAATAGTGAGGTCCGACTGATTGGTTCTGTATAATTCATCCTTAAAATTTCAAAAATTCACCTTATTTATCCACTGTTCATAACGGTCTCCACAATATTTTATTTTAGTTCCAGGAAGGTTCTTTCCACTAATATTACCAAATACTATTAAAATTAGAATAAAATAAACAAAATTTGAACACATTTTTGATCAATTTTTTGAGATTGTGTTTGTTTGGATTGAACGTTTGTTTACGTGCAATCCATTTTGTTAAGCCATATGTTTAAAAATCAACAAAATAAAGATTTTTTTCTGACGTAATTGATCATCCTTGAATGTTTGATTTAAACTTTCTAGCTATTTTAAGTTCCCTTCACAGTACCTGTGGGCTGTAAGGAACCTCTACATGTTCCTTTCACATTACTTCTGGGCTGGAGGGAACCTCCCTATTTCTTCCTTTACACTATACATGGGCTGGAAGGAACATGGAATCCCTTCGCACTACTCCTTGGCTGGAAGTAACATTGAGTCCCTTCGCACTATATATGGGCTGGAAGGAACATGGGTCTCTTCACACTACTAGGCTGGAAAGAACATCTTATGTTTCTTTCACAATACTCCTAGGCTGGAAGGAACATCTGTTCCCTTCACACTACTCCTAGGTTGTAAGGAACATCTTATGTTCCTTTCACACTACTCCTAGGCTGGAAGGAACATCTTGTTCTTTTCACACTACTCGTGGGCTGGAAGGAACATTTAGTCCCTTTCACACTTCTTTTAGGGTGGAAGGAACATCTTGTGTTCCTTTCAAACTACTCGTGGGCTGGAAGGAACACTTATTAACTATACCTGGGCTACAACATCTTTATTATGTGCCTTCCACCCTACTCTTTCGCACTACATCTGGGCTGGAAGGAACATCTCATCATGTTCCCTTTACTCTACTTATGGGCTGGAAGGAACACAATGTAAAATCGAATTTGGTGATCATTGTTCTTACCTACATCGATGTAAACTAATTAGAATTTTTATTCTTCCCAATCAGACCTGGGCGAAACTCAAAATTTTTTTCTGACGAAACGAAACGAAACAAAATTTTTTAAAAATCGTTTCGTTAACGAAACGAAACGAAACAACCTAAATCTTACGAAACGAAACGAAACAAAACGAAACATTTTAATATTCAAAAAATTTTCAAAACTGCATTTATTTCGCAATTATTCGACCTCAAATACTTTATTAGTCGCCTATGACTTATAAATGATTTAGTTATTGGTTTATTTACAACAATTGTGTCCCATAAGCCAGGCCCCATAAGCCAGGCCCGTCTCCATATCTCCATTTCGAGAGGAAGGCGATATAAGCTAGTGCTTCGCCGGAAGTTCCGGTTCCAGTATTTCCGCAACTCGCAATCCGCAATTTTTAAATTATGATGCGAGTCCGGTAATAGAATTTGTCGTCGATTAAGTAATATGTATATGTGAATTAGGGAGTGGAGTATAAACGGATTTGTAGTATATAAGTAATTGATATCTTCCTTTTTCAGCGCCGCAGGCGAAAATTTTGACAATTTGGGAAAGCAAGAAGCCGAAATTCTTTTTTTTCAGCGCCGCAGGCGAAAATTTTTTAAATTTTCAATAAAAGATGGTAAATTTTATAGATTTTGGCCTTAGTTTAGGCTTAAAAAATTGTTTCGTTTCGTTGAAAAATCACAGGTGTTTCGTAACGAAACGAAACGAAACAAATTTAAAAGTGTTTCGTAACGAAACGAGACGAAACAGTAAAAATCATACGAAACATACGAAACAACGAAACGAAACGAAACGTTTCGCCCACGTCTGTTCCCAATCTCCATTAATCATTTTATTCTTTATTTTCTCTCAAAAAATATTTTCTTAAAGTTGGGCCTTATTTTTGATTTATTTTCTTTTTTTCAACAATCTTTCGTCCTTTTAGTTAGACTTGGGTTTTTGGACGTAAACAGCTGCACCAAAAATTGTTTAAAAATAAAATTAATTTTATTTGGCGAATAAAGACCCGCCTACACTTCCCATCTCTCTACCACCCTCCTCCCCCTCGGAATATTTGTTGAAATTAATCAAGACGTGGGTTGTCAATAAATGGCCATTAAAAATAGGTATTAAATAAAGACGCAAAAAGACCACTTCTCTTTCTCGTCTTTTTTACAAAGTAGGATTAGAAAGAGGATTAGTCCCTATCTTCTCTTTAATCTCTTCCTTTTTGTCATTTATTTCCAAAGATTTTCTTTATTTACAAAGATACCTATAGGCTGAAGGGAGCATCTCCATTGTTCCCTTCACACTACCTGTAGGCTGAAAGGAGCATCTCCATTGTTCCCTTCACACTACTTGTGGGCCGGAAGGAACATCTCTGTTGTTCCCTTCACACTACCTGTGGGCTGTAGGGAACATCTCTGTTGTTCACTTCACGTACCTCTGGGCTGGAGGGAACATCTCTGTTGTTCCCTTCACACTACTTGTGGGCCAGAGGGAACATTTTCCTTGTTCCTTCCACATTACTTGTGGGCTGGAGGGAACATCTCTGTCGTTCCCTTCACACTACCTCCGGGCTGAAGGGCACATCAACATTGTTTCCTTCACTTTACATGTGGGCTGGAGAGAACATCTTCATTGTTCCTTCCACACTACTTGTGGGCTGGAGGGAACATCTCTGTTGTTCCCTTCACACTATCTGTGCTGAGAGAACATCTCTATTGTTCCCTTCACACTATCTGTGGGTTGGAAAAATCTCTATTGCTCCTTCCACCCTACTTGTGGGCTGGAGGGAACATCTCTGTTGTTCCCTTCAGCCTACGTATAGGCTGGAGGGAAAATCTGACTTGCTTCCTTCATACTACCTGTGGGCTGTAAGGCCCAAATTTTTTTGCTTCAACAAAAGATTTTTTAGAAACCTTCCAAAAATGATCAACCTTCTTCCCCTTCTTTTAATTATTTCCATAATTTCGTTTTCTTCTGCCTCTCCACGTCTTCAAGGTCCTCCTCCTCAAGGAAAGGGGGGAAAGGATGACAAATTTGGTGTCCACCACCAACCACCTTCTTTCTATGGAGGCGGGAAGCGCTTGCCGTATCCCGCTCCAGGCCCTCCCCTCGATTTTGTACTTGAAGCTAGTGAAAAGGCTAGAGAGGGGTATTTTAAAATGTTGGCTGAAAGTGAAGATAAGCCTAAAAAGGCAATTAAAGAGGCTATTGTTAAATGGGCTGAGGCTAACGATCTAAAGGTTTTTTTGGATTCCTTTGGATTCTTTCGGTACTATTGCCACTGTTAGGTTGAGTCAGTAAATCGCTCATAACTTATTCAAAATTGACCCAATCTGGCTGATTTTTGCACCATTCGACTCCGCACGTCGAGCCGCGTCGAATGAGCAATCACATGCCTAGGCCACCTTCAATTCTGAAATATTGCCTGAGGGCATATGGGCTCATAACTTTTTAAAAATTTATCCTATCTGGCTGATTTTTGCACCATTCGACTCAGCTCGTCGAGCCGCGTCGAATGAGCTATCACATGCCTTGGCCACCTCCAATTTTGAAATATTGCCTTAGGGTAATTGGCAAAAATGCCTGAGGCTATACAGAAATCTGGCTAATTTTCTCAGCATGCGACTCAGCTCGTCGAGCCGCGTTGAATGAGCTATCACATGCCAGTTACCTCAAATTTTGAAATATTGCCTGAGGGCATTGGGCAAAAAATGCCTAAGGCAATAATACCGATATTTCTTTGAATTTCTTAAAATTTCAAAAAAAATTTCAGAAAATATACGAGGAATCAACAAGTGAACACTACAAGAAGCGCAAGGCTTTCCATGATGTGGTTGTTGAGAATCTGGCCGGGAAGGCTTTGGAGGCGTTTAAAAAGATTTGGGTTGGTTTTTATTTTGGGGGTACTGTATGTGATAATTTGAAATATTTTCCGTTAGTTGACAATATGAAATATTTCCGTTAGTTGACATTTTGACATATTTTCTGATTTTTGACATTTTGACATATTTTCTGATTTTTGACGTTTTGAAATATTTTCTGATTTTTGACAGTTTGAAATATTTTCCATTATTTGACATTATGAAATAAAATTTTTTATTTCCTCAGGACATCACCCAAGATGATCAACTCACCCGAGGAGAGGAATGCCAACAAATTAATGCCGTTCTCTCAGAATTAAAAACAAAAATTCGCCACATGGTTCCCTTGGTTAGTCCACAAATAAGTGGACCTCCTTCCCACCGTTGTTTTGAACCTCAAGAAGAATTTTGAAAAAAATTGAGGAGAAAGGAATCAATTTTTTAATTTAATTTTCGTTAATTATTGCTGGGAATTTTTATCCCAAAAATCGATAAAAATTTTTTGAAAATATTTGTTTGGAATTTTTAGATTATTCTATTGACGTTGGCTAAGGATTTTTTAGAGAAAAAAATTTTTTTTAGTTTTTATTTACCCACCGATACAGCCCAAAAATGGCTTGCGTACAGCTCCAAAGGGGGTCATAACGGCGCGCGTCCATAACGGCGCAAAGCCATAACCTGCTTCAAGTGTTCCGAATTTTGGCAAATTTGGTTTTAAACGATTCATCTCATCGAGCTAAAGAGAATGGTACCAAAATTGATAAGGGCCAAAAATTTTACATCAAGTTATGGCTTTGCGCCATTATGGCCGCGCGCCGTTATGGGCCTTTTCCTTTCACCTTTTTTCCTTGCAATGGACTGGGTTGTTTTGGCGCGAGAGCAAAAAAGTGGCACTTTGGCAACCCCTAAATTTATGAAATTTTTCTCAAATTTTTTTAACATCCTTGACTACCTCCTCCAGAAATTTCAGAATTTTTCATCAAATATTTCCAAAGTTACAGTCGATAGCCCTCGAAAAATTAGGCATTTTTCAGAAAATCAACATTTTTGCCCATAATTTTTAAAATTCTTGCTCAAAAATTCTGAAATTTTTGGGAGAGTCAGATAAAGCCACGAGAGTTATTTTTGAAAAATTTGATCATTTTTGATAACAAACTCGCTATCTTATAAGCTCGCGCCAAAACGTCTAGGCGCCAAACGCCTAGTCCCTTAAAATAGCCTATAACTTTGGAAATATTTGATGAAAAATTCTGAAATTTCTGGAGAAGGTAGTCAAGGATGTTAAGTAAAATTGAGAAAATTTTCATAAATTTAGGGTTTGCCAAAGTGCCAATTTTGAGTCCCGCGCCAAAATGCTTAGGCGCCAAAACGACCCCAACCCTATAGTTAAGGGATTAAAAAAAATTTTATTTACCCACCTATTCATTTTAAAGCCTTTTTATGTTTCAATAAAATTTATTTTAATTTTTATGAGGGAATATTTAATTTTAAATAAAATAAAATTAAAGATTATTCCTTCCAAATTAAGATTAATAAAGCTTAAAGGCAGGTAGACATACAAAATTTGCAAAAAAAATTCTAAAAAAATTTTTCTAAAAAAAGGATTCAAACAAGAATATGCGTAAGCAAAGTTCTCACTCAATATTTAAATAATTTTAAAAGCCAGTAAATTTTATTTTATAAAATACTCAACATTAACGCTTAAAAAACGTCCACGTTTTCATTGACTTAATCGCTACTAGAAAAAAATTTTTTTATATTAATTAAAATTTTAATATAGTCACACCGCTCCTAAGATGTCCCTTGAAACCGAAATATAGTTGTATCTTATATTGAGGTGTATCTTAAATAGAAGGCAGTGATTGCTACTTTTCTTTACAGTATCGTGTGTTCCCCTCACACTACCAATAATGTTCCCTTCACACTACCGATGATCCCTTCACACCGCCGAAGATGTTCCCTTCACACTACCGATGTTCCCCTCACACCACCGAAGATGTTCCCTTCACACCACCAATGTTCCCTTCAAACTACATATGTTCTCTTCACACTACCAAGAATACCTTTTGAAGGATCCCTTCACACTACCAAGAAGGTTCCCTTCACACTACAAAAAATGTTCCCTTCACATTACAGAACATGTTCTTTTCGCATTACAGACATGTTCCTTTCGCCCTATCGAAAATGTCTTTTCACATAACCATGATTGTTCCCCTCACACTACTGAGAATGTTCCCTTCGTACTACAAAGAATGTTCCCTTCACACTACTAGGAATGTTCCTTTCGTACTACCAAGAATGGTCCCTTTCACACACCAAGTCCGAGAAAAGGGTAGAAAATAGGGAATATAAAGGAAGGTATAATGTACATAAACGAGAGTATCATATAAAAAATTCTCATAAAAATTTTTTAAAAATTTTCAGAAAAATACCCAAAATGTCTCTATTCTACTCACTCATTTTCCTATTTTATCTATTTAACAAAGCTTCATCACTAGACAAAGTAACCGTTAACAGACAACAAATTTTGGTTAATGGAAAGCCTTTCATTGCCAATGGTGCTGCCGGGAATGTTCGCTTTGATTTATTGAAGCAATTGGGAGGGAGTGTTATTAGAACCTATGGAGATGAAATTGATCAGATTATAGGGCCAGCATCCCAAGCTGGGCTTAAAATTGTTGCTGGATTTTGGTTGGGGCAGGTTTCTCAAGGCTATGTGGATTACCAAAATCCTAACGATATAAATGTAAGAATTAATTATTCTAATAAACGCACTTTCCGATACAATCGGACCACGATTACAGCATACACCCTTGGGCTGAAAAATTTTCTTATGAGGAAATAGGGGTTATTTATCACTTAGGTATATCACTTATATCACTATCGCGTACTCACATACTTGGGGGTATCACACCCTAATATACCCCTTTAATAGGAGAGGGGGAGTATCGCATACACACCCCTTTAATAGGAGAAGGGAGAGATTACATATCCTAATCCCCTTGAATGTGGTGAGATGGAGCGGGTATAACATATCAGCACCCCTTTGAATAGAAGAGAGAGTATCAATCCCACCCCCTTGAATGAGGTGAGGGGGAGTCACTTCCCCCCCCCCCTTGAATATCACTTAGTCCAAAGGATCCCATATAGGGCTATTATTAGAATAAATTTTATTACTGTAATGAATCGAACCAAAAATTCCCCCCTTCAATAATACAGATGGCTGATCAACTCGCAAAACTGAAAGTTTTTGTAAATAAATACAAAGATAACCCGGCAATTCTGTGTTGGGGAATTGGAAATGAGGTTGAATTTGGGGCAACAAATTCAGCTCAAACTGTAGCTGTATGGAAAGCTATTAATACTGCTTCTGAATTGGCACGAAGATTAGACCCGAATCATCCTACTATGACTGTAGTTGCTGATGTTGGTAACCTCACAACTTATGGGAAGGCTACTGAAATAAAGAAGTTTGCTCCGAGTATTCAGGTAAAAATTTTGTTGCTTCTCAAGGAATTAGAGAGATTAAAGAGATATTAGAGGGCAGGTTTATAACATGGATTTGTATGGATTAAGAGGATATCGGCGGATTTGGTGTGATTAAGTAATATAGGTGGATTTAATGGGATTAAAAGGACAGTTGCTCCAAAAATATTAAGGAGATATTGGTGTTCTGGAGGGATTATAGGGACGAAAGATCTGGAAGTATTAAGGGGATAAAGAACAGATCAGGAAGGATTAAGAAATATCGCTGGATTTAGAGAGAATAAGGGGCTATCGGCAGATTTGGAGGAATTAGGGAATATTGATGGATTTTAGAGATTAGAAGATATCGGTGTTCTAAAGGGATTAAAAGGACGGTAGATATGAAAGAATTAAGGGGATATAGGGGGATCTGGAGGGCTTAAGTAATATCGGCGGATTTGGAAAGATTAAGGGATATCGGTAGATCTGGCAGGAATAAAGGGGTATCGGTGGATTTGAAGGGATTATGGGGGATATATGCAGATTTTGAGGGATCAAGGAAACATAGATGGATTTGAAGGGATTTAACGGGATATCAAGGGATATCAGTGGATTTAGAGGGATTAAGGAGGCTATCGGTGGATTTTAAGGAATTAAGAGGACATAGAGGATCAAGGGGACATAAACACAATGTGGTAAAAAATTAATTGAACGATTTCTTTAAGATTCTCGGAGTCAACTCTTATGGTCCAGGACTCCCTACGGTTGTAAATAGAGCACGTTCACAAGGATGGAAAGGGCCCTTAGTCATCGCTGAGACAGGCCCCTTGGGCCATTGGCAAGCACAAATAACAAATTGGACGGCTTCAATCGAACCTAGTAGCGATCAAAAGGCAACTGATTTGGACAGATACATGACTATGTTGAAAGGAAAGGTTCAAGGCACGATAGTCTTTTATTGGGGAACGAAGATTGAAGCAACCCCTACATGGCATAGCTTTTTGCTTCCCTTCAGCAATAATGAGTACGAAAGGACTGCTGAAGTACTGGCTAAACAATGGGGTGGACGACTTCCAAATGGTGCTCCAAGGATTGGCAGCTTTAGCTTCCAAGATGGAAAAAACAAAAACAGATGGAACAAAGATGAGGTAACGTCTTTTAAAGTTGGATCACAGTAGCAAGGAAAGGAAAGTATATTCGATCCCGAAGGACCAAGACCCTTATGGATTGGAAAGTTCATGGACTTAGGGAGGGGTGAGACTGTTCAAAGTTCGAATTTGACAAATCGTTTGCGGCGGATTTATAGCCAAAAAAGACAGGGGTCGAGGTTAGATGGGGCTTGGTCCAACCCTATGTAATAGGCTCAGATATTCCTCTCAATCATTCGATTTATAATAAATTTTGTTAGGCTAAGGTAGTAGAAGGATGCCGGAAGCAGGCCAGGGTACCTTAAAGCTATAGCTTTGTTCAAAAAATGTTGAATCAGGGACGTCCCGGTATGGTTCGATTCAGCTTGTCAATGTGCATCGACCAATACCCAGGCGTCCCTGGTTCGATAACTTTTAACAAAGTTATAGCTTTCCAGTACCTTAGCCTTGCGGTAACTTTGAGGTGAAGAATGCCACCACCCCACTTATAAAATTTTCTCGGTCCCAGAAGCCGGGAGAGTCTAAAAGATTTCAAAAAAACAGAGCTAAAATCCAAAAACAATTTTCAGACCCCAACAGCAACATTGGCTGTATCAGACCCCAATAACGACCCAATTACTGTCAAATGGAGTGTCTTAAAGGAAAGAACCGATGCTGCGGGAGACGACGTCACTACCTCCGCAATTAAATCTTCAAGTAATACTGGCGCCACCTTAAATTTAGGGGCTTTGCAAACTGGGGGATATCGTCTTTATATGGCCGCTTTGGATAATAAGGGTGCTGCAGCAACAGCAAATCTGCCTTTTTATGTGAATTGAATTGAAGAAAATGATAAAAAAGGAGAGAAACTTTAAGAAAAATTTTACATCGGAAGGAAAAAAATTAAATTTTGAAAATAAATATGCATAATTACAGGCAGACCTCAATTTTTAGACTGGCCTAAGTAGGCGGTGGATATTCCTTAAAATAATAGAAAAAAGGGGAAATTTTTTAGTATGGTCCCAGTGGTTCCAGGAGGTCTATCTGTAATATCACAAATTGAAAGAAAAAAAGTCGGGTTGGGTCGAAGTTTCGGTCTTTCGGGCAACCTATATGACATTTCTGGTTTGTGATCCCTTCAAAAATAATAATAATGACAATTTGCGAATAAAATGTTGCCGAATTTTGACTATATATTAAAAAATACCCCAAAATGTAACAAACTTATTTTTAGGAAAAAAAATAGTTTAGAAGAGGGGGAAAGAAAATTAAACAAAAAATTACCCATTTTAACAAATGCCGTATTTACTCGATTAATCACCCTGAGTAATTCTGTTTCAATTTTTCACTGGAGGGGGTAATTAATAGAGATGGGGTAATTATTACATCTATTGATACCAAGAGCATTTAAAATTATCCATCCCTTATTGAGTTATAGGGTCGTGACCCAGTTGAACTGCTCCGATTAGTTTTTTTTCAAACCCTGGTTGGGTGGGGTTATAAATAGAGAGGGAGGGAGGGGGGTACCTATTCTAGGAAGGGTAAATCAAGGGAGGTGGGGGAGTGGGACACTTATTCAAGGGAGGTCAAGGGAGGGGGTACTTATTAAAGGGGGTAATTATTCAAGGGAGGTCGGGGTACCTATTCTAGGGAAGGAGGGGTACTTATACTAGGAGGGTAATTATTTGAGTAAATACGGTATATCAGTCAGTCATTCATCTTCCTTCATTATTATTCATCTCTTCCTCCTTCCCTTCTCCCTCCATCCCTCCCTCCTCTTCTTATCTTTCAATTTCTCTCGCAGCCATACACGTATTTAAATTAATTTGGAAATTAGTTGTTGAGGTACTCTGTTCTTCTTCTTGAACATTTTCGAGTTGTCGAGTCAAAAAATCATGTTTAAAATGGTGTATAATTACTTCTCTTCCTTCACTTGCTGCTGTTTCATTTAAAGCAGAAAAAATTGTTGGAGTTGATACTTAAAAGTGGGAAAAAAAAATTTTTTTTGTTTTCTTATTAGCTCCCCTCGCTAGAAAATACCTGCGATTTCCAATTTCAAAATAATATACGTTATGTTGCAAAATTAATTTTGGAAAGAGTCAAAATTGGCATTCAAACCAATCCGAAACAAAAATTTGCAAAGTTATCAAAGTCGTAGCCAGGGGTGCTGAGGGCTGAAATCCCCCCCCCCCACCCCCGAAATAACAGAAAATGAGAAAACATATGAGAGATAATCAAAAAAGTGAATCTATTTCCTCTGCAACCTATCAAGATTCAAAAAATTTTGCACTCGGAACGCCAAAATAAATGCCAAAATTTTGGCGTACATTGAATGTTAGCCCCCCCCCCCCTAAACCCTGGCTACGCCTTTGCAAAGTTATACTCTTTCAAGTAAGATTGGTAGATTTTTGGACATCCCGAATTCGAAAATTTCCAAATCATCTGATTTTTTTTCGGCACTGGATCCGCCAACCCTACTCCAAATAACAAACAAATGTCCTAAAATAGATATTTTGGCTCTAATTGTTTATGAGTTCGAGGGATAGGGTAAAGAACGGTCCCAGGCCAAGTGGGCGTATGTCCCGAACATGAAGAAGTCAAGGTCGGAACAGTAGTCACGAACAACATAAGTCCCGAACAAGGTCGGAACAGTCAGAGGTGTCGGAAATCGGAAGAGCCAGAAATCGGAACTGGCTCAAAAGTCGGAACTCGGAAATTGGAAATCAAAATTTTTTTCGGAAGTCGAAAATCAGAATTCCGACCCACCTCTGGTCGGAACTCTAATCCCTAATAACTCGGGTTGGGGTCGTTTTGGCGCCGGGCCGTTTTGACGCGAGAACAAAAAAGTGGTACTTATAAGGGACCCAAATTCTTGAAAATTTTATCAAATTTCTATAACATCCTTGACTACTTTCTCCGGAAATTTCAGAATTTTTCATCAAATATTGCTGAAGTTATAGTCGATAGACCTTGAAAAATTAGGCATTTTGCCGAAAAACAACATTTCTGGCCATAATTTCTGAAATTCTTGCTCAAAAATTCTGAAATTTTTGGAGAACTTAGATAAAGGTACGAGAGTTATTATTGCAAAATTTTATCATTTTTGATAACCAACTCACTATCTTATAAGCTCGCGCCAAAACGGCCCCGCGCCAAAACGGCCCAGTCCCTAATAACTCACCCAAAAGAAAATTTTTAAAGAAAAGCAAAAAAAAAAATTTATACCGACCATTTTGTTCAGTTTCCATTCCTCTTTGTTCCCCAACAATCTCTTCAGAAGGTCTAAATCTTGTACGTTCAGGTGTATCATTTCCTTCATTATTTGATGAACTATCATCATCATCGTCTCTTTCTGTTGGGGTTGTTCTTCGCCTTTTTCTTGATATAGGAGGGGTTGGACATTTCTAAAAAATAAATTAAGAAGAGTTGAAACTCAAAAAAATTCAAAAAATTTGTTGATGACAATTTATCCCTATCGATTTTTAGACAAAAATTGAAATTATAAAAAAATAGAGATCGGCCTGGGTCTGGACCAGGGCCTTTTCCTGTACCTAAAGTCCGGGCCCAGCATTTTTTGACAGATCGAGCTGGGTCTGAACCAAGGCCTAGGGTCTTTCCTGTACCCAAAGCCCAGGCATTTTTTTGACCTTCCTGGATTTTTCCCGGACTACAGGTCAAGAATCAGGCCCAGGACAATAAATCAAACCCAGAGTCCTGGAACAGGCCCAGGACTCGATTCCTAATAAAAAAAGACCTAAAAAAAGACACCCTGGCCCAAAAAAACCGATTCCCTGGCCCTTGCCAGTCACCTATAACCCTATTTTTATTTGTTTTTAAATATTCCAACCGAAAATTTCAAAAAAATTTTCGGTTGGAATATTTAGAAATTTTTCAAAAAAAAACCTCAGTCCCATTTTTGTTATGCCATATCCAATTATTCTTCAAATATTTCAATATAAGCGGCGTTTTAGAAATTTTGACGCGTTTTTCTTCCAAATTTGGAGGGACAGACAACACCATTTGAGGAGCAGATTTCTTAAAAAAATAGTAGAGTTTATCAATAAAACGAGCTGGGTCTGGACCAAGGCCTGGGTTTTTCCTGTACCCAGCAGGGCTGTGCGCCATGGCGTTTGGCGTCCATTTTTGGCCGATTTTGGCGTTGTGGCGTTTGGCGTGTTTTTCCTATTTTGGCGCACAGCCCTGGTACCCAGAGTCAAGGGCGTAGCCAGGGGGAAGGCTTCTGGGACTATAGCCACCCCCCAAATAGGGAAAAGGGATTAATTTGTGGAGGGGATTGGGCAAAAAGTGAAACACCTAATTTCAGCCCCCCCTGAAATCGACCCCCTAGCTACGCATTTGTCCAGAATCTAGACATTTTTTGACAATCCTGGGTTTTTCCCGGGCCTGGGGTTTTTCCTGTACCCAGGACAATAAATCAAACCCCAGAACCCATGAACAGGCCTAGGCTTTTCAAAAATTTAGATCTCTAGTTCAGACCGAACTGCCCGTAAAAAATTTTTTAAATCAAAAAATAAACCCTTGACGGCTTCATATCCTTTATAGAAAATGTTTTTTCATTTAAAACGGGGAGAGATCCACCAATTTGTAGCCATATTGGTTTTTTTAGCTGGAACTTTGAAAAATTCTTTTTTGCTGGAATTTCCATTTATTCTAGGCTATTTTCAAAAAAAAAATTTTAATTGGCTCTAGTCCAGTTTATGCGTCAAATCACTCTTTTTGCGTCCAAAATTTTTTTTGCGTCCAAAAAAATTCTTTGCGTTCAAAAAAATTCTTTGCGTCCAATAAAATGTTTTGCGTCACATCACACCTTTATGTGTCCAACTAAATTTTTATGCGTCCCGGACCAGAGGTGGACGCAACCGAAAAATTTTCCGCGTTCGCATCCGCAATTTAAATTTAAAATCCGCAAATGCAATCCGCAAGTCAAAAAAATCCGCAAGTTTTTTACGCAATCCGCAATTGCGTCCACCCCTGACGCATAGTCTTAGTGGACACAGTAAAATTTTGAATTGGACGCATAAAATTTTTTTGGACGCATAGACATTTTATTGGACGCACAAAGGTGTCATTGGACCCATAAACTGGACAAGAGCCAAAAAATTCTAAAAATTAAAAAAAATTAATAAAAAATATTTTTAAATGAAAATTACAAAAATTTCCAAACGAAAAAAAATTTTTCTAAAAATTTTATAAAAACGAAAAAAAATTTTAAAAACAAAATACAACCAAAAATGGGTGGGGGCTAACTCAAGGAACAGACAATTCAAGGAACGACCTAGGTCAAGGAAAAGGCAAGTCAAGGAAAAGACAAACAAAGAAAAGACAGGTCGAGGAACAGACAACTCAAGGAACGACCAACTTAAGGAATATTTTAAAAATCAGAATATTCTGAGAAATCAGAATTTTTCAGAATTTTTTAAATTCTGTTTTATAAAGTGTTCTAATTTGTTTTTAAATTCTTATTTTCTAAAAATATTGAGATTTTTCAAAAAATTTCGATTTTTAAAATATTCCTTGAGTTGTCCGTTCCTTGGGTTAGCCCGACACGCCAAAAAATATTAAAAAATATTTTCCCCAATATTATTCTGTTTCAACATTAAAAACCTCCTCTGGGCGCTCCCAAATTTCACAAATTCCAGGGACATGACGATGACCAACAATAGCAATAACAGTGAGGGGTTCAAAATGGTCAACTTTAAAAATAAAATTTTTTAGGATTTTTAAAGGCCAAGGAGGTAAGCTAAACCCCTAAAAACCGTCAAAATGCCAAACGCCAAAGAAATGCCAAACGTTGAAAATAATGCCTTAATTCCGTGACCGGACAATCCGTCAGTGGACAATCCGGCAGTGGAAAATCCGTCAGTGGACAATCCGTCAGAGGGCGGACAATCCGTCAGTGAACAAATTCGTAATTTTTACCTCTATTCAACCTACAGCTCACAAAAATTTGCATTTTTTCGTATTCGGAATTATAAGAGATATCGAAAATTTCGAAATTAATCAGGAAATCGGCAAACTTGGCTGGATTAAAAGAGATCAGTGGATTTGGAGATATCGGGGATTTCAAAGGATATCGTGGAATTAGGGAAATATAATAGATTTGAAGTATTATGATATGGTTAGCGAGGAATTTGATAGATTAAGAGGGATTTCATGGATTAAGTGGGATATCAAACTATTTAGAAGGATCAAGAGGATTTGCAGGTGGTTCCAAGATATTCAGCAAAAACAGTCTTTATTATTCATCGAATTCCCATAATTTTTTAAACCAAATCCAACATTAATCCCACCCGATAATCACTAAATCTAATCCATCCAAATCCCTGATATCTTTCTAAATCCATCGATATTCGCTTAATTCATCCAAATTGCCCAATTTTCACAAATCCAGACTCTTTTAATCCAGCCAAATTTGCCGATTTCCTCATTAATTTCCAAATTTTCGATATCACTTATAAACCCCAACACGAAAAAATGAAAATTTTTGGGAGCTGTATGTTGGATAGAGGTAAAAATTACGAATTTGTTCACTGACGGATTGTCCACTGACGGATTGTCCGGGAGCCCTTAATTCCCAGCGTCAAACCCCACTATAAGGTCGGTCACCTTCAAGGGCGTAGCCAGGGGGTCGATTTCGGGGAGGGGGGGGGGGGGCTAACACTGGGTGCGCGCCAAATTTGTGGCCCCCAGCCCCCGGGCTACGTCCTTGGTCACCTTAATGACTTAAAAATGTACCTTATAATGATATATCTTTTAAATAGAGGGCATCGGTTAAACAGCTCCACAACCCCTGTTGCCGACCAAATTTCACAAAATGGTCCAAATTGGGTTGTACCTAGTTTTATTGGGGGTATCATAAAACTACTACACCTCGCTTAAGCAGTTCGCCTAACCCAATGAGATGTGCCTAGTATTAGAGAGAGAGGAGGGGCAGGGAGGGGTGTTTTAAAAATGAAGCGTATATCCTCAAGAGCGTAGCCAGGATCATTTCCTTACCAAATTTTTTTCAATTTTCCCAATTTAAAATGGAGGGTAGGGGCTATCCCACCAGCCCCACCTGGCTAACCCCTTTGGGCTCCCGGACAATGCGTCAGTGGACAATGCGTCAGTGGAAAATGCGTCAGTGGACAATCGGTCAGTATTGATAAAAAGTGATTAAAAGCTATGATATAAAGATATAAAAATTCCTTGATATCCCTTCAAACGGCTAATCCCCATCTTAATCCAACCAAGTAACTTAATATCTTTGTTAATCCTCCCAAACCCGAGATATCGGCCTTAATCCCAACAAATCCCTTTATATCTCTTTTAAACTCCAAAATCCCTTTTTAAATACTCCTAATCTGTTTATATACCATCTTTAGTCCTTTTATATCATTTTTTATCTCTTTACATCATCACTTTTAATCACTTTTTATCAATACTGACCGATTGTCCACTGACGCATCTTCCACTGACGCATTGTCCACTGACGCATTGTCCGGACACGCTCCTTTGAGGTCATACTATAACAAAAACCCTAAGTTTCTAAAATATACCATTCTGCCTTTGTGCAGCAGCCAGCTTTTCTATCGTTCCTCTGTGTATTAACGTCTGTAAATTTTTAACCATCTCCCTTTAAAAAAAAATAAAAAAAATTAGAAAAAAAAATTAAAATCCAAAATGAACGTATTTTGACGTAAAATCATTGCTTGTCTTCCATCAGAAAAATTTTCATCAATAAATTTATCAAACCAATTTGCAGCTTTTTTGAAATTGTCTTCTTGTAAAACTTTTCCTCTGAAAAAAAAATTTTTTAATAAAAGAGAAAGGAAGCTTGGCCCCAGGCAGGCATCGATCCTGAGACCTCCTGACTTTTGCTAGGCTTTTCGCTCACCAAGTACAAGTGCTCTACCAACTAATAAGCTCTATCGGGAGCGGTGAAGCAGCCCAATAGCGCCCGAAAGGTGTGGGGATTCTGCGTGTATGGATGCCGGCCCCTGGTTCGGTTCGAAAAATCCCTCTGGCTTCGATTTTTAACCAGAAAAAAACTCGAACGGCCCGGGTTGATAAAAATGAGGCCCAAAAAATTGCTCGAACGTCGACCAGATTCGAAAACAGCAACCCTAATCCTGAGACCTCCTAGCAGTTATGCCAAGTGCTCAAGCAGTCCAACACTCGGCATTTTGAGTGTTGACTCAAGAGACTTTTCTAGTCATGCGTGCCTTTGGGTCTAGTCTTGAGTCTTGGAAAATTTTGGGTCTTGAACATCTGATATCTAAGGATTTGGAAGAACTAGGAGGGATTCGGGGAGATTTCAGGAAGCTAGTAAAGAATTTGAAGAGTGTAGTACGAGCTCTAAACGCTTTTACAAGGCCCTCAACCAAGAGGAAGCTCAAGGAGATATCTGATTTGTAAGGATTAAGAGAGATACTGAGTTTGTGAGAGCTACTAAAAGGATACTGAGGATTTGGGAGAGCACATAAGGGGACCTAGTAAACGCTTTTGCTAACATAAGTTCTCAAATTGGGGATTAACAGGGATATATTGACAGTGATTTGGAATGATTAAGAAGAATACTGGGGGATTTAGAAGAGCTAGTAAGGAATTTGAAGGGTCTAGTGGCCAGCTGGGTTCCCCCTTTCCTTAAAACCCTCAAAAATAAAAAGAAAACCTTCTCGGAACCTGGTCCAATTTAAAACTAAAAGATTCTTTATAATCTGCCCATTCAATTAAATCACGTGCCCAACCCAACAAAATATCCAATTGATTGTAGTCTATACGTGGTGGACGATTTGGGTCCAATTGAAGGAGAATGTGTTCAATTAAAAATTCTTCTGCCAAATCTACTAATCTGTCCAATTTTTCTTCCTAAAAAATTAAAAATTTTGGTACTGTGTAGTTTACCCCCCATAAGCCACGCCCCTTTTCTCTTTTCGTAATATTATGGAGTGACATTTGGGTCAATATTTTCATTTGAATTAATTTTAGGCCTTTTTCCCGTGTCGGGATAGAACCGAAACGGACAAAACACGGAACGGACAAAACATGGAACGGACAAAAGACAGTCGGACAGAACATAGAAAAGACAAAACCCGGAACGACCAAAATACGGACTATACCAAAACAAGGAACAGACAAACAAATCAGAATTTAAAACTAATCCTGAAAATTTTTAAACTATTCTCAGGACCGTGTTTTGGTCGTTACGTGATTTGGCCATTCCGTGTTTTGGTGGTGGTAGAAAATTGCGGATACGCACGTGCGGATGCGACATTTGCGGACGATGTTTGTTCCGCGTTTTGGCATTCCTTGTTTTGCCCCTCACCCCTTTTTCCTTCCTTTATAACAAAAAAGAAGAAAAAGGGGTGGAGCTTATGGGGGGTAAACTACACAAGTACCCAATTTTTAAATTTTAAACTTAAAAAAAAACCCTAGGCAATCCCAAAATGAAACCAGCACATCCAGGAATTGTTTCATGCAAAGCATTTCTAGCAAAAGTAAATTCACTGTATTTACACATATATTTTTGGCAATGTTGTCGTAATGTGTGAAGGTTTTTGAGGTGCGCTTTGACTGACATTTTGCTTAAAGCTTTTGGAATATCTGTTATACCTTCCTGAAAAAAATTTTAAAAAATGAAGAATTTGTTTTTCCTGTTGAAATTTTTTGTTAAAAATAGGGTAGCTCCTCGAGCTTTCGGGGTCGGATGTGCCGGGGATCGGGGTTTGCCGGCGAGTTCATTTCGGGGGCCCGGGGAGCTACTCTAGCTAAAACTAAAGTTTCAAGTTGAAGAAAAGGGACACGAAAAAAGATTTGTCAGTCCTAGAGAAAGAAATGTTTGGGAAGGTCGTATCTCGAAAGAGCTTTCTCTAGCGGGTACCCCCAATTTTTAATTTAAAAAAGAGAGCTTTCTCTAGCGGGTATTACTCAAGAATGGATGCTTTTCTAAAAAATTTTTTCCAAAAAAGTTCAAAGATGACTCTGAAAAATTTTAAGTCAAAAAGTCACTTTTCCATTCTCGAATAGAAACTAGGTTCCATGGAAAGTTCTGGTTTTCCCACCCCCAATTCTTGAGAATTCCCCAATTTCAAGTTACTCCGTCAATTTACAAAAGCAGCTCAATGTACAAAATGGTCAAAAAAATCACCCTTACAACAGAAATGAATTTTCACTCGCGAAAAAAATTCTGGCCTCAAAATAACCAAAAAAATAAAGAAGAAACCTTTTTAAGCCGTTCAACAAGGAATTTTTCAGTGCTCTCTTGTGAATATTTTGGCATTAATTCCAATTTATTACTTCCAATGAGCAATTCTGCTTGTGATGAACTCATACCAAGAAAAACAAAATCAGCATGGACTGCTGACATTAATAGTCGAACCTGCAAATTTTAGTGCAAGCTGACCAAATTTTAGAGAAAATTCGGTTTAGTGTAGTTTCCCTCCCCCATCCAATTTTTTTATTTACGTACTTGCATAATTTCACAAAATTTCCTATGGCATCAATCATTCAGTCATTGTATGAGACATGTACCAGGCCCATGGCAAGGAAAAAAATTTTTAAGGTGGGGGAGACAGTTGATCCCACCCCTTGACTACGGGTCTGTTCTCACAAAAAACATGTCTGAAGTAAAGAAAGATTGACTGAATGTGACTAAAGGAAATTTTGTGAAATTATGCCAAAAGAAATGACTGACCATTTTGTACATCCAAGAAAAAAATTGGGTAGGGGAGGGAAACGACACAAATAGAAAAAACGGGTGGGGGCAAACTCGAGGAATTCCACCTCACGAAACAGTCAGGTCGCGGAACGACAAGTCACGACCAAATCACGGAATATTTTAAAAATCAGAAAAAATTCTGAAAAATTCTGAAAATATTCTGATTTTTAAAAAATTCCGTGTTTTGGTCATTCCGCAATTTGTCCGTTCCGTGAGTTAACCCGAACGAAAAAAACAAACAAACATCGTTAACGCTTTTGATTGTATCATGTTTTGTCCCAAGAAGAAAAATTCTGGCGGAAGTAAACGCCTCATTCCACTGGGAAGAGTCCAAATATTCTGGAGGGGGAGTTGTTGGAGTATAGGGATAATGGAGAAGTTTAACTAGAAAATTTAAAAAAAATTTTAGGCGAAAAATAAGTCAAAAGAAACCTCCAGGATCCATTAAAGCACGTCTTTCGTCCCATTTTTTTCGTTTAAACAGAAAATTCTTTTGTAGACAAACCTGGAAAATGATAAAAAAATCTTGCCTTTAAAAGTAATTTAAAACTAGGTTTGGCACGATCGGCTAATTTTTGTCCCTATCTCATATTTTTTCTATTCGAGCCGTCACAGGCAAAAAATAAACCGAGCGTGTCCAGTCCTAGTTTTTAATCCACATGGCCCTCTTGTCCATTTTCACGACAAAAATGCCTCAGGGGGAATCGTAAGTATGAGTCAGTGATTATTTGAGGATATCAAAAAAAATTTTGGATCAGTCAATCTAAATCGGGTCGGACAGACCTTCTAAATTCGGACAGGATTCCCCAACATGATCTAGCTTGACGAAAGCAAAAAAATTTTTGGTATCATTTAAAAATCTCAAAATCATACTACGATCACTCTGGTCACGGCAAAGGCGTATCCAGGGGGGGGGGGGCTGGGGGGGGGGCTAGAGCCCCCCCCCCCCCCCCCCCCCCCCCGAAATGGGGGAAAGAAGGAAAAAATTAGGAGAAGGATGGTCGAAAAAGTGAAATTTGTTCGCCTACAACCTTCAAATTTTAAAAAATTTTCGCCTGCGGCGCAAAAAAAAGTTAATTTTTTTGGCCTACGGCCTTCCAAAATTCAAAAAATTTTTGCCTGCGGCGCTGAAGTGATGAAAATTTATGTACAAAAAATTTGCGTCCGGAACGCCAAGGTAAACGCCAAAAATTTTTGCGCCCACCCAGTGTTAGCCCCCCCCCCCCCCCCCCCCCGAAACCGACCCCCTGGATACGCCCTTGGGTCACGGCCCTGCTGGGTCTGTCTATCAAATTTTTTGTTTTCACCCTATTTTCCAAAACTGGAGAAAAAGGGGAAAGAGAAAGGAGAATAAGTTCAACTCTAAAATACCCCAAAATCAAAAAAATCAAAAAAAAAAACCTTCTTACCCCCTTTTCCGAAGTAACGACGTGTTTAAAATTGTGACTAGGTAAAAGCTCCAATTGTTGCCACGGCCGAACATTTTGCAGCGCATTTTCTTCATTCCTCAATACATTGGACAATTCGAGTTCAATCTCCTCTTTTTTCAGTTTTACAGGGGTTTGCGTTGATTTTACAAGTGTGGCTGAAATTTAGGCGAAAATAAAATTTGATATAATATACCGGTGGAAAGGTTTCGATATAAGACCCATACCATTCGATTCGTCTCGACGGGCTGAGTCGAACAGTCTCACTATTTTTTTCCGAAGATGCTTGTGGACCGAGATATAGGTGCTTACTCCCCCCCCCCCCCATGGTTTTTCGATTTTTGGGGACCTATATCTCGGAGCACAGGCATCTACGGAAAAAAAGAGTGATACCGTTCGACTCAGCTCGTCGAGACGAATCGAATGGTATGGGTCTTATATCGAAACTTTCCACCGGTATACTATACTACAGCCTGAAATTAAGTCAAAAAGAAACCGTTTGCACTGAAGCTTCTACAAATTGCCTGGGAGGCGGATAAACAAGTACAACGAGCAAAGAGGCGATTTAACAACATCCTTTACAACTAAAAAATAAAATTTCAAAAAAATTTCAGCGAAAATTTTAGAAATTTTGAGAAACGTTGACTCTAGAGCTCGGCACGGGGCGGGATCCCGCACGGGATTTTACGGGATTCCGTCCCAGAATCCCGGCTTTTGAGCGAGGATTACCGGGATTTACGGGATTAATCCCGCGGGATCCCGTCCCGCAAATTTTTAAAAGAAAAATCCCTTAACGGGATCCCGAGAATGCGATTTTGCCGATCTCTAGTTGACTATTTATTTCGTGTCCGGTTAACTCATCTACTCGTTAACTCATCTACACGGCCAAAAACGTTCAACTCATCTAAACGGCTAAAATTCCTTAACTCATCTACACGGCCAAAAAGCGATCAACTCATCTAATCGTTAACTCATCTATTCGTTAACTCATCTACACGGCCAAAAAGGGTCAACTCATCCAATCGTTAACTCATCTAATCCTTAACTCATCTACACGGCCAAAAAGGGTCAACTCATCCAATCCTTCGGAACGAGACTATTGAGTACCGGCCGTTTGAGTCTCCGGCCGTTTGAGTCTCTGGTAAGTTGAGTCCATGACCAGTTGAGTCCATGGCCAGTTGAGTTCATGACCAGTTGAGTCTCAAACGGCCAGACTCAGACGGCCAAAGACTCAACCGGCCGATACTCAATAGTCTCGTTCCGAAGGATTGGATGAGTTGACCCTTTTTGGCCGTGTAGATGAGTTAAGGATTAGATGAGTTAACGATTGGATGAGTTGACCCCTTTTTGGCCGTGTAGATGAGTTAACGAATAGATGAGTTAACGATTAGATGAGTTGTATAGGAGCCATTTATTTTCTCTATATTTATATTTCTCTAACCAAAACAAAAAACTCTGTCCCTATTTTGCCAACAACATATTTTGCCAATAAGGGTAAAATTCTCGTTTTGCCTACAAGCTTAATGACAATCGAGATTTTCTACCCTTATTGGCAAATTGTGGATTGGCATAATATGATAAGACTCAAAAATACATTAAAAATGGGGGACACGCCCTCCTTGTCGCGGGCCACCTTGTCGCGACCACCTTGTCGCGACCACCTTGTCGCAGGCCCACCTTGTCGCAAAGGTTGAAAATTTTTTATGCTGATATGGAGGGTAGGAAAAAGGCCTTCTGGGCACGATCGGGGTTTTAAGGAGTAATTTGGATCGGTTTTACTCTGTTAAAACTCCGGTAGACTTTAACCGGATAAGAGAAAGTAATAAAAGGAAAAAACACTCCTGGAAATTAACTAAAAAATTAAAAAAAACCTAGAAAACAAAATAGAAATTCTAAACCTTCCATATTTCCAATCGTTGTAGCCGTGGGATGAAGTACGGCACGTGGCGAGTGAAGTTTAGGCCAGCCTTGAAATAAAAACCAAAGGAAAGCCTGCGACAAAGTGGCCTGCGACAAGGTGGTCGCGACAAGGTGGTCGCGACAAGGTGGCCCGCGACAAGGTGGGCCGTACCCTAAAAATGGGATCAAATGTCATTTTTGTCATTTTGGTAGACGACATTTGGCCTAAACCCGATTGGTCAGTGAACAGTAGTTTTGTGGATATTTTCGGGATTTTAAGTAGGTTTCGGTTTTTTTGAGGAAAATAAAATTTTATTTTCAACTTTTAGGAATGCCTTTTCACCAAATGACAACAAGACGTTCATCTCTTCTCCATTCTTTTATAATTAATTTATTTAAAACATCAAAGTCAATACATACTTGCTCTATAAGATTTGCATCAACCTCAAAATTTTCAATTGATGTTTACTCTTTGAATAAGTGTCAGATGGAATTTAACAGGTTTTTCTCTTTCAAAAAATATTTTTGGGAGCAGGCCAATGTACCGCTATAACTTCGTCCAAAGATTCCGAATTCGTGGCGCCTTGGAATGTTTCGATGCGCCTAGCGAGCTGAATTGAACCATACTAAATCGTCTCGGATTTGACCACTTTGAACGAATTTATAGCTCCGCGGTACATGGGGGTGTACCCGTATTTTTTGGTAATAGTCGGGTTTGTCTCCCCCCTTTTTCCCCATATTTTCAGCTCAATAGAAAGTAGAGGAGGTGTTTTTTTGATATTTTAGACTTGCCAGTCAGGGCTGTCCGCAATTGAATCAAATTTTCTGCTGCCTTTTAAATTTTTTGCAATTTTAATTTGAAAATCCGCAAGTCAAAATCCGCAAGTCAATCCGAAATTGCGGACACTCTTGCTGCCAATAGGTAATCGATTGTACTGGTAAATGAGTCCGAATATGAGTTAAAATTTTACTGATTTCGGATTTCCCCGACTTTCGGGGACGGGGAACAACCCTACGGGTTACCTGAAATCCGGTCTTTTTTCGTTCCAAAACCTGACCGGGCTTTCTCAACTCTTGGCATTTATGATAAGGGCATTGGTTTGATAGAACGGTACTTGTCTGGACTGAATTTTGCCCTCTTTTTTTAGTGGCGCTGGAGGAGTTGAAGCAGCCCTTTTCACAAACGAATTGCTTGAGATGTACAGGCTTTTTTCTGAAAGGAATGGATGGAAATGGATTCCTTTTGAGGTTATTTCTTTAATTTTAGCAGAGGTGGATCGGAATTCATTTCCAATTTCCGACGTTTTTTTCAGATTTCCGAAAAAATTTTGAGTTCCGAGTTCCGACATTTGAGCAAGTTCCGATTTCCGGCTCTTTTGATTTCCGACACCTCTGACTGTTCCGACCCACCTCTGATTTTTAAGAATAAAATAATTCCTCAAAAATTTTCAGATTGACCGAATAAAGTCATCTACTACGGGTGTTCGCTCAGCCATAGTTTCTATTGAAGGAGAAGGTTGTTATGCTAAATTGAGATTTGAGGTTTTTTAATTTTTTGTAATTTAAAACGGAGCTAGGCCGGACCTTGTTTTTCGATTTAAATTTCAAGTTCTGTCAGGCTTCGACACTTGACTGGCTTTTTGAGCTTTTTGTCGCCTTCGGCTTTTCCGACCCACATGTAATTAAAAGCGAAATTTGTTTTTTTTTTAAGTGGGCCTATGTTCTAATAGAAGCCCAACTGGTAATATTGAAGAGTACAGACCCCATTTTTTCCTCCCTATTTTCCCCCTATATTTTTACAAAATGGTCAGACTTTTTCCTTCCATCCAATTTGCTTTTCTAATTTTTGCCTGAATCAAAGAAAAAGAATTATTTTTTGGTATTTAACAAGTATGAGTTTTGAGAAGACTCATTTTTTCTATTAAATGGGAAATAAAATATCAAAAATAATCCCTTTTCTTTGATTCAGGCAAAAATTAGAAAGGCAAATTGGATGGAAGGAAGAAAAAAGTCTGACCATTTTGTAAAAATATAAGGGGAAAGATAGGGAGGAAAAAATGGGGTCTGTACTCTTCAATATTACCGCCCGACTTCAATATCACCGCCCGACCCGACTACATTAGAAGCTCATACCAGGCCCGTAGCCAGGCTTTTTTCGGGTGGGAGGGGGGCCAAGGGGACCTTCTCCAAATTTTTTCCTTTTCCTCATTTCGGGGGCAGGGGGAAGGAATCCCCCCTGGCTACGGGCCTGACTCATACCCTATTAGTCACTTTCTATGGCTGTTCCGACCTAGCCTGTTTTTTCCATCAGGAGGGAATCTGAAAATTAAAAAATATTCTACTTTTGTTTATGGATTTGAGGGGAATTTTTGTATTCAAGAGAACCACGAATTAGTGGCGATTATAAGACGCAATCAAAAAATCCACACCTTCAAGAGGACAAAATTTTTTTCAAATTTTAGGGAGGAGTTCACAGAGTGCAGAGGACGCCAATAACGGACAAAACAAGAATTCATACAAGTACTTCAAGCATTGCAATTTTGCCTGAACCTGAAACGGTTTCTTAAATTAAAAAAAAATTTTTTTTGAATTTTTTCAAAAAATTTTTTCGAAAAATTTTCAAAATTTTTTTTTTGAAATTTTTGGAGGCTTTTAAAAAAATTTTTGAAAATTTTTCAAAAATTCTGAACCTGAAACGGTTTCTTAAAAGAAATTTTTGAAATTTCAAAAATGTTTTGGCGAATTTTTTTTTTTAATTTTTGAAAAATTTCTGAAAATTTTTGGAAAATTTCGCAAAAAAATTTTTTTTGAAATTTTTGGAGGCTTCAAAAAAATTTTTGAAAAAATTTCCAATTCAGCCAGAATTAGTAATTCAACCCGGTGATTTACGTAAGGAAACAATGCGATCTTCTGGTGCTGGGGGTGCAAATGTAAATGCAAATTCTACAGCTGTCAGATTAACACACATTCCAACGGGTTTAATTTTCAATTTAAAAATTAGAAAAAAATTTAATTTTGAAGGTATTAGTGTAAAGGCTCAGGATGAACGGTATTTACAAGTTAATGAAAAGGTATAATATTTTAATTTTAAAAAATTTCTGGTTAGAGGGGATGACTAATCCATTTAGTTGGAATAAAGGTACGGCTTATCGCGAGCAGTCGAAATTTATAAAATTCATTTGGTTTGAATCAAATAAAAAAAGTTATAGCCTGTCAAATTGAGTAAGAGGAAAATGCAAGGGGGGTGGAAACTTAGAAGTACCGGGGATTCTTTTTTAAAAAATCTTTTCGTCTCCTTTCCACGATGTTGATCACTAGAAAAAAATTTTTTTATAAACCACTCTAATTCTGATGTTTGAAATTTAAATACGGGGAGAGAGGGAAAATTTCTTTAAAATTTAAAATATGTCAGGGATCGAAACCTGATCCGAAAAATTTTTTTTGGAAATTTGGCCCGAAAGCCGCCTTAATTTTTTTCTTCCATCTCTGGCCTAACCCAATTATGTATTCTATTTATAAATATTTGACAAATTTTTTATCTTTCAGATAGCCCATAAAAGATTATCCGCAATTCTGTTAAAACGCCAAATTGACCAAATTAATAGTAAATATTCTGGAACTAGAAAATTACAAGTTTTTTTTTTTAAATTTTTTAAATTATTTTAACTTTAATTTTTAAAGGTTGGGTCTTCAGAACGCTCAGAAAAAATTCGGACATTTAATTATAAAGATAATCGAGTTGTTGACCACAGATTAAAGGTTTGGAGAATTTAAAATTTTTTTTTGAATTTTAATAAAAACTCGAAACTTTTTTCGAAATTCGAAAACGAAACTCGAATACGAAATTTCGTTTTTAGAAAATTTTCGAAATCTTCTAAACGAAATTTTGAAAGGCGAAATTTCGATGTCCAAAAATTTCGAATTCTAAATTAGGGTATTTTCTAATTTGAAGAAAAAATTTTTTGAAATTTTGTAAAATTTCGAAATTTCGAAGTTGAAGTTTAGAAATTTAAATTTTGACAATTCGAAATTTTGTAATTCAAATTCTAAAACGAAATTTTGTGAAATCAAAGTTTCGAAAGATTTCCGAAAGCGAAACTTCGGAAATTTCGAATATTGTTTTTTTGGCCTTGATTTCGAATTTGATTTTTTGTTCTCGAATCTCTTTCGTTTTGATCTTGTTCGTTTCGAATCGATCTCGAAATTTCGTTTTTCGAATTTTGACTTTTTTCGATATTTTTTATATTTTTCTCGAAATTTCGAAACACTAAAACGAAACTCGAAATTTCGAGAAAAAATCGAAATCCGAAATTTCAAGAAAAGACGAAACCCGAAATTTTGGAAATTTTCGAAATTAAATCTATAATTAAAAATTTTTTTTCAGCATTCAATAAGCGGTGTTCATGAATTTTTAGAAGGTGGAGAAAAACTGGAAGAAATGGTGGAAATGTTGATGGAAATGGCTTTGGAAGAGGAACTAGAAGAAGAGGAAAATGAACAAAAAATGAATAGGTTTATTTAGAACGAATTAAAAATTTTTAAATTATTAGAAAAATTTATTTCAAATTCTAATTGAATTTTAATAGTCAAAAAAATTTTTTTAACTGAATTTGTGGCCCATTGTGTTTTTGGAGACCTGGTATGGGACAGGGGTGTGCCGAAATTTTAAAAAGCGGAACGCGAAAGGCGAAATTAAATTTAAAAAGCGAAACGCGAAATGTGAAAGTAATTTCAAAAAAGCGACACGCGAAACTGGCGCACCCCTGGTATGGGACATTTTTTGAGAAAATGAAAGAAGTTTTTTATCCTAACCTGCTTCTTTTTTCAATGCCGCGCCCATTTTTTATACGCCGAAAGAGTTCTATTTCTATATGGCAGTCTCTAGAATTTTTAGGCGCAGGGAAAATGGGCGCGGCATTGAAATAATGGCTGTACTTTAGCCGGTGGCCCACTCAGAAACTGGTCAAAATATATACCATTCGATTCGTCTCGGCGAGCTGAGTCGAATGGTACCATTCTTTTTTTGCGGAAATTACTACGAGCCGAGATATAGGTCCTTGAAAACCGAAAAACCAAAGGGGGTTTTTAAGGACCTATATCTCGGCTCGTAGGAATTTCCGCAAAAAAAGAATGGTACCATTCGACTCAGTTCGCCGAGACGAATCGAATGGTATATATTTTGACCAGTTTCTGAGTGGGCCACCGGCTAAAGTATATCCGAAATAATGAGAGGGTGGGGTAGGATAAGGATACAAGACCGATTTTTTAAGTTTAAAATTTTAACTATAAGCTAAATACAATACTAATACATATTTTAAAAACTACAGACATTTGCGGACCCTATTTTTATTTGTTTTTAGGCGACGCATACCTTGCGGTCCAGGCTTGCGTCACGGGTAGGGAAAAATGTCAGAAGGATTTTCAGGTCGGGTTTTCAAAATATTTCTTCAGATCGAGTCGAAAAAAGTCTTGGGTTTCGTGTATCCCAACCCACCCCTATTGCAGATCCCAAAGTCTGTCCGCAAATGTCGGCTGACTATTTTTAAATTAAAAAATAAAAAAATATTGCTACATTCTTCAATTATTCTTGAGATTTTTTAAGTATATTTGCTTGTTTAGTAAACTAATCCTATAAGAAAATTATTATTTCGTTGTTTCACTAAAGGGTAAAGTTTGACAACGTTGAAGACGACATGTTTCAGTGAAGGGACTGAAAAAAATAATTTTATGGTAAAATCTTAATAGAATTTCCGATACTTGTGTAGTTTCCCTCCCACACCAAATTTTTTCCTTGATGTACAAAATGGTCAGTTATTTCTTCCTCGCATAGTTCCACAAAATTTCCCCGTGACATCATTCAGTCAGTCAAACCTCCTTCATTAGGACATACTTTTGGTTTTACATGTCTCACCCAGTAGTAACTAGAGACGTCCGAGACCAAAAATTTTCCAGGTCTCAAGACCATACCCCAAGAAAGACAGAAAAAACCCCCAAGAGAAGTCTTGGAATCAAGACCAAGAGTCTCAGACGTCTCTAGCAGTAACCCCCCCTCTTTTTTGTCTCAATAAAAGGTGAGGGGGGGGGGTTCTGGGGGGGGGAGGGTGACGGCAAATCACACCCCTTGTGTATTTTAGTGAGATACTACTCCCAGTGACTGATTGAAGCATGCACTGGGAAATTTTTGTGAAATTATCCTAGGAAGGGATGAGTAAAGCAGCTAGCTATTTCACTCATTTAGCTAGTGCAAAAGGTTATGGGAGTGAACCAGCATCTTCAGTAGACCGCACCGATGTGTTATCCATTACACCAAGCCGCCTAATGCACAGCCTTAGGCATTAATAACTATATGCTTTTCAATGACATTGACCATTCTGTACATCAAAAAAATTTTTTAGGGGAGGGAAACTACACAAGTAATTGAATTACCCATCAAATTTAAATTTGTAATATAAAGCTGTGTTTGTGTCAGTTATTATTAATTCTGAACATTCCCAAGAAAAGTTTTGTACATCAGAACAGAAAACTTCCATTTCGGCAAAGTCTAAATGTCCAATTGAAACGGCTTCGAATTCAAATGAATTTCGCTGGAAATGATAGAATTAGATTTGAAATTAGATTACGGTAGACCTCACTATAAAAGTAAAAGATATGTACTCTTGGGTCTAAGAAATGGACAAAAGGGAGGAGATGATCCGGCACGAGGTTGGTACAACCGACAGAAGGGTACTCACGACTAAAGGGAATACCTGACAAAATGGTACAAACGACTAAAGGGAACACCCGACAAAAGGGTATACCCGACAAAATGGTACTCTCGACAAAATGGTACACCCGACAGAAGGATACAAGCGACAAAAGGGTATACCCGACAAAATGGAAAACCTGACAAAATGGTACCTACGACAAAATGGTACACCCGACAAAAGGGTACAAACTAGTTTGTATAAATTGTGCAGCCCCCAGACTTAGTTAAATAGAGGAGTAACTATCATTGGCTGTCTTATAGTAAGGCCCTGTATTAATTCCAACCGTGTTTGGAGCAAAAAGTTGAATTTTTTGTTGATTATCCGAAGACTGTTGTTGTACCGAAGGTTCGTCTATTTCTGTATTGCTTAGAGTTCTCCAGCCAACATCTCTTTAAAATGAATTTTAAGGGGAATATTAGTTATAGAAAATTACCCATATTCTCCGGATACATTAAGCCGTACGTTTATGCCAGGCAGGTGTTGAGGGGATGCTTCACCGGCGACAATCCGAACGAAGTAGATAACAACTAGTAAAGGGGATTTAAATTTTAATTGCTTTTATTAAGCTTATTTTCTACAGCATGAGTATTATACAGTCGCACCTCACTATAGGATACCACCCAATACTAGAACAGCTCTATCAAGGATATGGTCTTCAAGCTAGGCAAGCCAAATAGCGAGAGCTGCCTATGCTGTACAAAACGTTCTTATCATTTGTGTCATTTTGTCTCTGAGCCATTTTGTCGTTTGTATCCTTTCGTCGTATGTGCTCTTTTGTCGTATGTACCCTTTTGTCGTTTGTACCCTTTTGTCGTCTGTGCTCTTTTGTCATCTGTGTCCGTGTCCTTTTGTCGTATGTGCCCCTTTGTCGTTTGTATCCTTTTGTCGCTTGTCCCTTTTGTCGTTTGTATCCTTTTGTCGTGTGTACCCGTGTGTCGTCTTACCTTTTGTTGTTCTATTTAACGTACACCCCATATACTATTTTTCAGCCCGCGGCTTATCCTATAGGGAGGTCCGACTGTATACTGTATTACAATAATCTTCCTAAAAATTATTATTCAAAACCTACTCGGAATAGGCGGTTTATCAGGCCAAATAGCCGACAATTCATAAACCGAATATTTCTGTAAATGGCAGTCTGCCGCCGGGAATCTAATTTCATCTCCATTTACAGTATCCGAAATTCTAATTTTCTCCACTATAGTGAAGGGTTGCTTCACTTCTTTGTCTTCCAAATTGTTTTCTTCCTCACTAGCTTCCACCCCAGTCAGTTTCTTCCCTTCATCTTCGATAAAGATGCGTATTTTTCGAAGCTGTCCAAACAGCTCTGCATCCTCCACATTTTTTCTGTGATGTCCAAAAAGCTCGTCATTCTCTTCCCTTTCTCTTTGCTTTCCAAGGAGCTCTGCATCCTCCCCACTCTTCCCGTGGTGTCCAAAAAGCTCGTCATTCTCTTCACTTCTTTCTTGAGTTGATTTTGGCGGCACCTGATAGCTTAACATCCCATCAGAGCAATTTGTGTTCATTGGACGCATTCTGACATTCGAGCCGTTCTCCCCGCATAATTCAATTTCGGGCAAAATTGTGGAACCATAAGCCAGGGAAACTTGGAGTAACCAGTTGGACCTTTCTTTTGGTGCTTGTTTCCGTCGAGGTAGACGAGTGGAAACACCCTTTTAAAGGGAAAATAGATTAGATAATTTTAAAGAAACTTTTAGAACTACAGTACCCACGGAATTTGATACAGTACCCACCATGTATCCGCAAAATTGAAAGCATCTCAGTTTATGATACCTCATTTCAAAAGGGTTGGTCTCATGGTGGGAAGAGCCCTAGGCTATCCCTCTATTTAAAGGACACCTCAATATAAGCTACGATACCATAGGATACAGTACTTACAAAATTGGATACGGTACCCACCATGTATCCACTGGATTGAAGGAGCTCCTAAGCTATACCCTCTATTTAAGACATCCCTCATTATAAGTTATAAGGATACGATGCCAATCTTAACCTGGGTCTCTTAAAATAACTAATTTAAGATAGGCTCTTTAAAATGTGGTAACCTTGTGTGGAGAGAATTACCTAAGAATACCCTCTATTTGAGGCACCTCTCTTTATAAGGTCAATACTAAGTGGGTATTTAAAAATAAGGTTTGCTTTCTAGTTAACTTAAACATGATTTAAGAAAGCCTTTTGAAAGAGGTTGGCTACTGGATGAGAGAAACTTTAGGGGGTACTCCCCCATTATAGGGTAGGATTCTATCATCTCCAAGTGGCTAACTTAGCATGAGGTTTCCTGTCATTTTTACCTCCATTTCGGTTGTCAATAACTCTTTAGTACAAAATTGAGTCTGCTCCGATAATTCATGAAATTGAGAACGAGTTAGGACGTAACTTGAAACAAAAAATTTTTTAAGATCAAAATTTCCTTGATTCTACCGATACGGGGTGTGGTAAGATTCTCGAAGGAGTATTCGCCCACACAAAAATTCTGAATTTGAGGAGAGGGGCCAAAGCCCTTGCTTTTGAAATAGGCCTTGAATGGCCAAAAGTCCATCTACTATTTGTTCTCCAATTGAATTTGGTTCGAAACGAAGACGGGCACCGACTACTCGACCGACGCTTACAGCCTCTACTTTGAATGAAATGTCCTGTAAAAATTTGAAAATATTTTTCAAAAATTGGATAAAATACAGTAGAATCTCACTTTTAGATAAACCCTTGGGGCTGAAAAATTAGGCTTATTATTAAGTGTAAAATTAAGATACAACGACAAAAGGGTTTCCCGACAAAATGGTACACCCGACAAAAGAATACAAGTGAAAAAATGGTACAGGCGACAAAATGGTACATTGGACAAAATGTTACATTGGACAAAATGGTACACAGGACAAAATGTTACATTGGACAAAATGGTACACAGGACAAAATGTTACATTGGACAAAATGGTACACAGGACAAAATGGTACATTGACAAAATGGTACACATGACAAAATAGTACATTGGACAAAATGTTTTACATTGGACAAAATGGTACAAGAGCAAAAGGGCACCCGTTAAAAGGAGGAAACTGGACAGCTCCCAGGTGTATCCTAAAGTGAGGTTTTACTGTAACACCTACAATATTTTCATTCTCCTTGTCAATGTCTTCATTTATCGGCATATTTTCTTCATCCCCAGATTTTAATTGTTTTTCTTTGTAGTCCATAGGCGGAGAGATAGTTACTCGAAATATGCCTGTCTCTCCTAGATCTCCATGCAAATCCATTAGAACCTCCTTATTGTCTAAACACTCAATTTTGGGGGTTGATTGAACGCTGATTTTGCCCTCATAGGTTATCACTGATAAATGATAAGATTAAAATAAATTTAAAAATCAAAGAAACAAGGCAATGGTTCAACTCCGATATGAAAAGCAGAGAGTTCTCTAAACGGCTGATCCCCCTTCTTTGTACTTTTCCAACGCAGCCACTTTCCACACATGACCACAAAGCGTTCTTCGGTGTCCAGATCCTTTAAATTTTTGAATTATTGGAGCATTATGGTTGGAGCTCACTACAGGAAACACCTATAGGGATGAGAATGTCTTATAATGAGACTATCTCTCTCAGGGTGTCTCTCAGAGGTATCCCTCTCAGTGGTATCTCTCAGAGGTATCCCTCTCAGTGGTATCTCTCAGAGGTATTTCTCTCAGGGTGTCTCTCAGAGGTGTCTCTCTCAGGGTGTCTCTTAGAGATATCTCTCTAAGGGTGTCTCTCAGAGGTATCCCTCTCAGTGGTATCTCTCAGAGGTATCTCTCTCAGAGGTATCTCTCTAAGGGTGTCTATCTCAGAGGTATCTCTCTAAGTGTGTCTCTCCTCTCACCCTCTCATCAACACCCTCTCAGAGGTGTAGCTCTCAAAGTCAGTGGCCACCCATCTTTGGATCTAGTATCGGGTGTATCCAGGGTGACCATCTCCAAACCACCAAAATAGGGCGCAGCCACTCAAAAATGTGGCAAAAATAGGGCAAAATTGGTCAAAAATAGGGCAAAAAATATGGCAATATTTTAAAAGCTTAAAATTAATTAAAATTTCAAACAAAAAGCTTTATTTTTAACATTTTTTCAGTAGTTTTAACTAAATTGAGCAAATCGGGATCAGAAATAAAGAGATCATATGCCAGAGTAAATTAAAATCAGAATTAAGTTTAATGGTTACAGGGGAACAGGGGTTTTCAGGTCGAAAATAAGCCTCCAATGTTGACCAACTTCGAACTATTTCATTCACAAACGTCCAAATTACTGAATAAAATCCCGTACTTCAGCCTGTTCGTGCCAATCTATAATAATAAGCTAGTAACGTCCTCCCTTTCAGCGCCGCAGGCAAATTTTTTTTAATTTTGTAAGGTCAAGAAGCCAGATTTCTTTATTTTTTAGCGCCGCAGGCAAAAATTTTGAGAATTTTGGAGGCCAGGAAGTCAGAAATCCTTCATTTTTACCATTTTTTTACAAAATCCCAGAAAACTTTAGTAATATTACGAAATAGTAAAAATAGGGCAAAAATATGGCAAATGAAAAAATAGGGAAAAAATAGGGCGAAAAGTTCAAAAATAGGGCAAATGCCCTATAAATAGGGTAAAATGGTCACCCTGGGTGTATCATATAGAGAGGCCTATATTGGGTGTCTTTTAAATAGAGGGTATTTTCTAGTCATCATTCCCACTCAGTAGCCAACCGTATAAACCACACCTTGAATTCCACAAAATTGAGAAAATAATCTGGACTGCTTCCAGTTCCATCAATCTCAACACGTACTTTAAGTAGTTCACCAATGTCACCAAAATCGAGCTGGAAATATGTTTTTGGTTTAATAGTGATGCTCGAGAGTCCCGGTCTCGTTCTCGTATCGAGAAATTTCCCGTTTTTGAGTCTCGGTCTCGACCCGAGATTTTCTCGGTTTTTGAGAGTCTCGGTTCACGATCCGAGATTTTTTCTCGGGCTATAAGTCTCGATCTATCGTCTCGGTCTCGAACCTGATTCTCGGTCTCGGACTTAATTTTCGGTCCCGATTTCTTGTCTTGGTCGAGGTCCTAATTCCCAATCTTGATTTCTTGTCTCGGTCTCGGACCTAATTCTCGGTCTCGACCTCGGTTCTCGAGTCATGTTAACTTTTGATCTCCGAGCATCACTAAGGTTTAACAACCCTTCAAAGCAATCTTCACCTGTATCAAAGCATCAGAAGGAACCTTAGCCATGTTGGAGTCATACAAGCCAGAGGTTGTTGACTGGGCTCGAGTTCCATACCCAGTAATGGATAATTGTGAAGTTGTTCCTCCCAACCCCTTTTCTGAGCCTCCATGGAGAATTAACTCCCAACGACCTCCTTTTAAATTTTTATATTTCTTTCCCTTTAAATCTTTAAATTTACTTGTTACTCGATCCTCTATAGGGATTGATGAAATTTCGTAGAAGGAGCTGAGTCGAATTGTGCGCTCCAATTTTCCATCAACTTGGCCCGAATCAAGCCACTTAAGAATTTTTAATATACTGTCAGACCTCCTTATAAGACAACCAATCTGTTGAAATTTTTTGTTCCTAAAGTGATGGATTCGCAAGTGTAGGGGTCGGAGATATCGAGATTCACTAGGTGTCGGGGTTCATAAATGTGGGAGATCGCAAATGCCGAGGTTCGCAAATGTCGGGGATTCATAAATGTCGGGATTCGCAAATGTCAAAGTCCACGCATATCGGGATTCGCAAATGTCGGGGTTTGCGAATGTGAAGCTTTTAAGTGTGGGGTCCGCAAATGTCATGTCTGCAAGGGTCAGGTAGCCTTATAAGTGAGGCCTAACAGTATTTAAATTAATTTTTAAATTTAACTCCCACTTTATTGCATAGGAAAAGAAATTGGCGACAATCCTCACTAGCTTCTTCATCCTCAGTAACCATTATCCTGTCAATGAAGATGCCAGCACCTATTTTAAAATTGATATTGAGAAAATTCTCAAAATATCCACTACCGTATCCTTTACAGTCGTGCCCAATTGTCAATTTTTTCAAAATTCCCAATCTGCTGGGTACTCGGAACTGGAAGGAGTCGGAATGGTTTTGTCGAAAGCGCTGTCCATTTGCCCCACTCTGCAACCAATTTGTGAACTCCTGTCGAAGCCATAATCGTTCTGACTCAACCCCGCCCGCTCCCACCATTATTATATAGAGATCAGCCTCTGTATCAGCCGCCCACCGGTTTCCGGTGAGCACGGTAATGGTGTAGAGATAGTCTGAAATACATCTTATCACTGACAAGAGGACTAACATACCTGTCCGAGGTGTTCTCTGTGAATTTACTGGGCTTTTGTCAATGTGGTCTTGTGACATTTCCCACCCCAATCTTTGCTTTCCTTGGAGTAGCTCGGTAACACTGGCTTCTTCTCTATCCGAAGACGAATCGTGGGCTGTCTGTTAAAAAGAATGGCGTATTTTCTGTATTAGAACCCCCTTCTGAATTAGAGCCTCTACCTCCTTATTGTCTCCGTTTGGAGGATGGGTGAAAAATAAAGCCCCCCTCCTTAATACAGCCCCCATTTGGAGGTTGGAAGAAAAATAGAAATCCTCCCTTCTTAATAAAAATATAGCCACCCCTCTTTCAAATCCCTTCACACTATGAAAAATGTTCCCTTCACCCTACGAAAGCTGTTGTTCCCTTCACATTATTAAAAATGTTCCCTTCACCCTACGAAAGCTGTTGTTCCCTTCACATTATTAAAGATGTTCCCTTCACCCTACGAAAAATCTTCCCTTCACATTATTAAAGATGTTCCCTTCACCTTACGAGGACTTGTTCCCTTCGCCCTACGAAGGCTTGTTCCCTTCAGACTAGAAAAATGTCCCCTTCTCACTAGTTCCCTTCGTATCAAGAGATGTTCCCTTCGAATTACCAAAAATGTTCTCCCTTTGTGGGATAGAAATAGAACCCCTTGGGGCTCTATTAAAGAAAATACAGTATATTCCTTAATAAACATTTATTTACTTCATTCCCATAATCGGGGACAAGCATGGTAGTAGACGTCTTTTTAAATGAAGTCTTCCTCTAAAATTATTTTTTAAATTGTAAAATCTTTCTCCAACAAAAACCTTCCCAGATTTTGGTGTTTTAACACGTGTAATAATCGCATGATGCCTTTCGTTCGGCTTATACAAATTATTCTTCGAGCGACGCCTAGGGCCATAACTACCTGTTCCAATGTAGATTGGGTGTTCGGAGAAACGTGTGTGTTTGAAGCCTTTACGGACTGTGTATCTGAAAGGATTTCGAATATAATGAATAAGATCAGAATTCAAATAATTCTGAACTAGAGATGTTCCCTTCACACTACGGAAGATGTTCCCTTCGTTTTATCAAAAATGTTCCCTTCGTACCAAGGTCCCTTCACACTATGAATGTTCCCTTCGCACTACAAAAATGTTCCTTTCGCATTAGGTTCCCTCCACACTACAGAAAGTGTTATATGTTCCCTTCACACTACGGAAGATGTTATATGTTCCCTTCACACTACGGAAGTGTTCCCTTATCACTATTGTTCCCTTCACACTGGATTCCCTTCACACTACGAATGTTCCCTTCGCACTATAAAAATGTTCGCTTCGCATTAAGTTCCCTTTACACTACGGAAGATGTTATATGTTCCCTTCACACTAGGAGTTATCCCCTTCGCACTACTCAAAAATGTTTAATTAGGTTCCCTTTGCATTACAGAATAAATTCCCTTCTAATTTAATTAAAAATTAGTTCTCACCCTCTCCACACGCTCTGAATCTTTACTGCAGCCTGCCCATACAATATCCGTTCCAATTCATCTGAGTAAACCCCACTCATTCCCCCTTCATTTCCCTGTTCTGGGTTGCTCTCACCCGTATGGACAATTGTGTATTGAACAGGTGAAGGTGATTTTGGTCCTTCTTCTTCGATCATTGGAGGGGTTACTGCCTCATCCATCTTGTTTAGTTCCTCAACATCCTCTTCTTTCATATCCTCAACCTTGTTTATTCGCCTTACTTCCTCATCTTCATCCTCATTATTCTCTTCATCATCCTCTTCCTTGTCTTCATCCTCATCCTTGTCTTCATCTTCATTCATCGCCACTTCATCCAAAGCCTCCTCCCTATCTTCCCTTCCATCTTCCCTCTGATCCTCCATTCCATCTCCTACAGTATCTAACCCCTCTCCTTCCTCATCCTCTTGTTCATCTCCCTCCTCCTCCTTTTCCATCTCCTCTTCCCGTCCATTCCCTTCCCTCTCTTCCCCCTCCTCATTCTCCCCAATCCCTCCTTCATTTTTCCCCTTTGAAGATTTCTTCCTTCTCCTTTTTTCCATCTGGTGCAATGCCATTAATTCAGGCGGCTCTTCAGGGTAATCATCCTCCTCTCCATCTACATTCTCATCTCCATCCCGTTGAGGTCTTTCTTCATTTACTTCATCAGGCATATTTTCTAATTCTTCCATGGTTGAACGGGGCCGACCAGAATCTGAGTCTGCTAAAATTTGTGGTAATAAATTGAGATGATATGATAATCTGATAATTTTTTGATAAGTCGGATCTCAATTCAGTGTCACAAAACTTGTAATTTATTCCCGACTTAACGTTAGATTTATTCTATAATCTTAGTTCAACCACAACCAATCTGACACCCACTCATGGCGCGGCATTTAAGGATCAGACTTTTGGGGCCGGACGAGTTACCAAAAGGGACCCGACAGTCTTAAAGTGTCGGGTGCCCTAAAATCAGGTCCCCAACTTTCGGATCCTTAAGTGTCGGGTAGCGCACCCACTTGTATGTATTTCACTGTCATTAGCGTCAGATTTTAAGTGTCCGAGTGGTAACACTAGTGAGCTACCTAGCTAATGAGCTACCTAGCTCTGGATCCTGAACCGAGATTTGAAATGCTCTTAACTAGAGATCGGACCAAAACGAAATCTGGGTCAAATCCCGAGACTGAGATTTTTCGAGATATCGAGAGTGTTAATCGATCGAGATATCGACACTCTCAGTTCATCTCTAGTCGGAGCCTCCAGCACTGTTTCAACCCTTCACATTACGAAAGATGTTCCCTTCGCATTATCAGAAATGTTCCCTTCGCACTAGGTTCCCTTCACTTTAAGAATGATGTTCCCTTCGCACTACAAAAATGTTCCCTTCGCACTAGGTTCCCTTCACACTAGGTTCCCTTCACCCTAAGAATGACAATTTATATATTCTGATATATCTAATCCCTACTATTAGTCGTAGTTGTAGTAATCGTCGACGAAGTTGTAGCCGTATTCTCCGCTATATTTACAGTATCCTTAGCCTTCATAGGGCCCAAGGTCGTCAATTTCCTCTTAACTTTAATAGCGCCAGAAGCAGCCATTTTAACTGGAGGTGCATTATTCGAACTGAAGGACCTTTGACGGATAGAAACTTCCCCGTTATTAAGCAAATTAATGTTGGTATCGTCTTGTGAATTGGTTGAGTTAAGCATCCGTTTCTTTTTAATGTTTAAATCGAAACGTGTAAGGTTTTCGTAGGCGGGGAGTCTGTCAATATTATTGCTGGGTTGTCGAGCTGTAAATTAAAATATAAGGAAACGTGGCTGTTTTTTCTATGATGGACCTCACTTTAAAGATCACTTAATGAGAGATACTGAGTGAGAAGTGACATCTAAGCAAGGGGGAGTCTCAGCGATTGAGTGAGGAGTGAGGGGGTGTCTAGAAGGCAGAGGACGTCTAAGAGTATTTAAGATATACTCAATACTAACTAAAGGTCCAAGATACTTTTTCTTAAATTTAGGTGATCACCAAAGGGCTGGATATAGTCTGTACATGCAGAACCACATAATCGGGTTGGATGGTCTCTTTTGCTTTTGAATTCAGCCCTTTTCATGATGGTTCTATTCCATCTCCCATCCTACGGATTAATCATAACAAGAACAAAATAAGGAGGAGTCTAAACAGTCTAAAGAGTGTAAGGGGAGTCTAAGGGAATCTAAGGGGGAGTCTAAGGGAGTTTAAGCGATACCCTCTATTTAAGAGACATTCAATACTAGCTAGATAGACATCTATTCAAGATACTTTTCTTAACTTGTTGACCATAGAAAGGAATGTTGTGTTCACATTACAGAAAGAAGCCCATCACCGGGGTGGAGCCCATCACCGGGGTGGATAACGGACAATCAGTTGTGCCATGGAATTAAGCCCTTTCCATGATGGTTCGATTCCAATTCCCACCCAATGAATTTCTTTACAGTATGAATATAATAAGGAGCCTCCTGAGCAATGCTCTCTATTTAAGATACACTTCAGTATAAGCCCACAGGGTTCTCTTTGCCCAAAGGGTCCCTTGGGGCTACACCTTCTAATAAGCTGTAAGGGTTCTCTCCTCTAATAAAAATATAATTCCAACTTTTTGAGTGATTTCCACGATAGGGAGGCACTGATTTAGAAGATGAGGTTCCGGTTCCTTTAGATTTATTATTGCCATTTTTAATAGGCGGAAGAAGCAGACCAGTCGATTGCTTTTGTTGTTGGAGAGGGATAACAGGCCTTAGAATGTCTGAGTTTGTTTGGCCGTTGAGTTGAAGACGTTCATGTCTGGGTACTGCAATTGCTCGAGAGTCCTTTAGTTGAAGAAGTCTAAGGAGGGAAATTTTTGGAAAATTTTTTTGAAATTTTTGGAAATTTTGAAATTTTTTTGACTACTCACTGTTCAACGTTGAGAATACGATCGCCTTCGAACGAATATATTCGAAATATTGCCACGTGCAGACCTTCGCTTATTTCCTCCAATAAGTGATCCAACTCGCCTCTACTAAGAGGACTCACAAGAGTGCGATAGAAACGATGTGGGTTGCCATTAAGAACAAAATAAATCTGAAGGGGTTTTAACTTAATTTAATTTTTGAAATTTCAATACTAATGGGGTATCTCCCTACATGTCCGCAAAATTTTGTCCGCAACATTTGTCCGCAAAATTTTGTCCGCAACTTTAGTTTGCAAAATTTTGTCCGCAACTTTTGTCCGCAACTTTTTGCATTTTCTTTCTCCTCTCATAAGATTAAAGAGGAAATAGAAGGGAGAAGGAAAGGGAAAAATAGTTGCATACAAACATTTGCGGACATATAGAGAGATAGTGCCACAATTTTGGCAGATACTGCCAATTTGGCGAGATAGTGCCAATATTACCAAAATTTTCAAAAAAAATTTTCCACCTGCTTTGAAGTCACCGGCATAAATGTACTGTTTACTCTTTGTTGAGTAGACAAAGCAGTTGAAGCTTCCGGGGCAGGTAGCTTTTCGCTACGCGAGCGTGAAGCTCTTCCAACTTGTGAGGATTGAAACATGTTCGTATTATCTTGGTTGTTGCGAGGGTCGCGGGTCTGGCAAAAAAATATTTTTTTTAAATTTTTTAGTTTGGGAATTTTTAAATTAAATTTACTTAATATATTTTATTTTATTTAACTCAGAAAAAAATTTTTAGAATGAAAAAACCCTAGAAGTAGTTGCACTCTTAGCTGTAATATTTGCGTGGTGGAAAAGCGAAACCAACTTTTCAAGCATTTATTTTTTAATTAAATTAATGAGAATATTTTATGGCAGTTTCATATGAAACTAATATTAATTATACACTATGCGAAAAATGTGTTTACTTTAAATAAAATTCTTTAATTATTAATAAAGTTTATATTTAATTAATTGTTTTAAACATTTAATTATTTGTTTTAAACATTTAATTATTTGTTTTTAGAGAGAAACATTGTTTGGAAAAACATTGTTTGGAGAAACACTGTTTGGAGAAACATAGCTTTTATTTGTATGAACAATGTTTTGAATAAAAATTAACTTTGTTTTCCGGAATAAAACAAACATCCAGAAAAACAATGTTCGTTTGAGTTTTCCGGAAAACAAAAATGGAAACATCTAAACATTTATATTTTTATGAAAATGTTTACTGATTAAACATTGTTTTTCCGGAATAAAATAAACATCAAGAAAAACAATGCTCGTTCAAGTTTTCCGGAAAGTTTTACAGAAACATCTGAACATATTGTTTTCATGAACATTTGATTAAACATTTTTTTCCGGAAACAATATTAAAACATTGTTTTCTGGAATAAAACAAACATCCAGAAAAACAATGTTTGTTCAAGCTATTCGGAAAACAAACTTAAAAGTTTTACAGAAACATCTAATAAAACATCTTTCCGGAAAACATAATTAAAAATCTAATTAATATCAAAACATCAAATAAAACATCCTTCCTGAAAACATAATTAAAAATCTAATAAAACATCTAAACATTTACAGATGTTCTATTCTCCAAACAATGTTTTTATCTATTTAAACATTATTTTTCCGGAAAACAATATTAATTTTATTTGTTGGGGCAAAACATTGATTTTCAAAACATTAAACAAAGTATTAAATGTTTTTAGCAAGCTAATATTTAATAAAGTAAATAATAGTGGCTGTCAACTAACAATGCCCCAGTTATTATTAAAATACACACGCAAGTATAATTTAAATAAAAAATAAATATGAAGCAGGTCTGCCATATTTATTTTAAAGTTGACAAAGAGTGGTATACGCTCAAAAATATTTTTTTTAATTTTTCAGAATTTTCCAAAAAATTTTTTTTCATGGAAAAGACGCTCGAAGTAGCATCACTTAAAGGCTTAAAAATATTTCGAGTCATAAGAAAAATTTTTTGAGGAACATTTTCTCTTAAAAAAGGAAAATCCTCATGAAATTAATCCTCAAAGCAATTAAAAATATTTCTAAAATAACACTTAATGGATAAAAAATATTTTTGTGACCCTGGAGGGATTAATATTTAATAAGCAGGGTAAAACATTCACGTTAATAGCTATTAACATGAAATTAAATATTGGCTTGAATGCTTATTTAAATAAAATAAAAACATCTGTTAGGTCTAATTAAATAATTTATTAAAAATCTATTAAAAAAAATTTTTTGTGAAGAATTTTCTTGAAAAATTTTTATTGAAAAATTTTGAAAATTTTCAGATTTTTCAAAAAATTTTTGAAAATTTTTAAAAATTTTTTTGAAAATTTTTGAAAATTTTTTTTGAAAAATTTTGAAATTTTTTTGAAAATTTTTTAAATTTTTGAAAATTTTATTTTGAAAATTTTTTTTGAAAATTTTAGAAAATTTAGAAATTTTCTAAAAATTTTTCTAATAGAGCATAGACTTACATTAATCTCTGCCGCTCCCCCTTTTGACGCTGTCAATTGAATTTGACCTGTATTCGCCGACCCCCCATGTGTAGTTGTAGGCGAACTCTGAAAGTTCCAGCGACGTTGGGCGTCTTCCCTGTGCCGTTTTCTGCGTTCAATTGCCTCCAAATCGACTCCCTGAACTCGTCGGGTGCTAGAGGCCGCAATGTACCTGAGTAAAACATTTAAGAATGTTTTCCGGAAAACTTGATCGGACAAATTTTCAATGTGCGCTCAAGTTTTATTATAGAAAATAAAGTTTTAGTATTGTTTTTCCGGATAATAAAATAAAAACATTGTTTGGAGAAACATCTGGAAAAAATAAATGTTCAGATGTTTTCGTAAAACATTTAATAATGTTTTCCGGAAAGCATGAACATTATTTTTATAGATGTTTGTTTTATTCCGGAAAACAATGTTTTAATATTGTATTTAGAAAAACAATGTTTGAATAAGTAAAAATATTGTTTGGAGAATAAACATCTGGAAATGTTTAAATGTTTTATTAGATGTTTCCTTTAATTATGTTTCCCGGAAAACTTAAACGAACATTGTTTTTCTAGATGATTGTTTTATTCCAGAAAACAATGTTTAAATAAATAAAAACATTGTTTGGAGAATAAACATCTGGAAATGTTTAGATGTTTTATTAGATTTTTAATGTTTTCCGGAAAAATGTTTTATTAGATGTCTTAATGTTTTTTATATTTATTTTGTTTTCCGGAAAGCTTGAACGAACATTGTTTTTCTAGATGTTCGTTTTATTCCGGAAAAACAATGTTGTTTTTATTCAAAACAATGTTTGTAGAAACATAGCTTTCTCCAAACATTGTTTTGCGAATAAACATACATAAATGTTCAGATGTTTCCGTAAAACATTTATTTATGTTTTATAATAGTTTTTTATTTAAAATTTAAAACCTTCCATGAGGTTGGAGTTCGTCTATAGAACGAATCGGAGTTTTGCCATTGGGGGTGTGCAATCGACGAACGCCAAAAGGCATAGGAATGGAGTCGTTTAGAGAGTCCATGAGTGCATCCATTGTTCGGAATCGCCCTTTATTTATTGGTACTCGAACACCCTGAATATAGGGGAAATAAATTTGAATTTAGAAGGAAGGACAGGAAGGGGTCGTGGAGAAAGGAGAGCGATAAGTCGAACAACCTCGATTCTCGATAACCGATATTTTCGTTCAATACTCGCCTCGATCCGCTCCTTTTAATATTTCCTTTACACTACCCACGATGTTCCTTTCACATTACTCTTAATTAGAGTAATGTCTCAATAACCTAGATTTTTGTTCAAGATCTCGACTCGGTCCGATCTTAAATAAACTACTAGAATTCCGTAAATATACTAATACAATATACTGATACAAGCCCATCAATTAAAGAAACTCAGGCCCTATTAGAAGCTCAGGCCAAATAATAGGGCTAATAGGGTTCAGGCATCTAAAAGAAGCACAGGCCCTATTAATTATTAGATTTAACTTCATTTTTAAAACCATTTTTAAATCATCTCCCAGTAGGTATAAGCTCTAATTAGATTATACAGGCAATTTTAATTGCTTTAGAATTGAAATATAAATTTCAAAATTTCTTATAACTGACTCTCGCTCATTTAATTATTACCCTTACTTTATTATATGCTTTCTACTTAATATATTAAAATTTTTTTTATTTTTAAATAAATGTAGTAGCAATATCAAATTTTCTGCAGATACTAACTAACATTTAAATAATTAACACTCGCCTAACTTTATTTTTAGAAAATTCAAAAAATGTCTAATTATAGAAGGCAGTTAAGGAAGCCTTCTCTTGAAAAAAGAGGCTCTCCTAGAATGGGTCTCCTCGAATGGGCTTCTTTTAGAGGCGGGCTTCTATTAGAAGTGGGCTTCTATTAGAGACGGGCTTTAGTAGAGGTGGGCTTCTATTAGAGGTGGGCTTCTATTAGAGACGGGCTTCTATTAGAGGTGGGCTTCTATTAGAGACGGGCTTCTATTAGAGGTGGGCTTCTATTAGAGACGGGCTTCTATTAGAGACGGGCTTATATTAGAGGTGGGCTTATATTAGAATAAATAAGGTACTCCTTCCTATTTAAAAAAGCAGTTAAAGAAGCCTTCTCTTGAAAAAAGAGGCCTCGAAAAAATTTTTAAGAAAAAATTTCAAAAAAAATTTTTTCTCACGTCCTTAATAATTAATACACATACTGAACGGTCTTAGATTTTTAATAATTAATTTATTAAGCTATATGTTCAAGTTTTAGACGCATAAGAGGACAATTATTAAAGGTTGCTATGGCAATAAAGACAAATTTATTTTAAAAAATGCTTAATATGCTGGATTTAGACAATTGACAAAATTTTTTGAATAAAAAAATAACTGAAAAAAATAATTGGAATAAAAATTCCCGACCATTCCGCTTAGAATAAGCGGATTTTTAATAAAATCTGTAAATATCGGAGTTACCGTAAATATCCTAATAGAAGCCCTAAGCTTGTATTTTTCAATACCTTCCATCGGGTGGGCTTCTAATAGGGCATGGGCTGCTATTAGGGTTGGGTTTGTATTAGGATATTTACGGTATATGTACCAACCAAAAATAGGCACTCCTTCCGTTTAAGGGGGGCCGCAGTCCTCTGACCATTATGAGACCATTATTAGACTCATAATGGTTAGAGAACTGCGGTCTCCTTAAAAAAGGCGGACCAATTAATTAGCCAGATCCAGACAAAAATTGGATTAAGCTTTCAATGATATGGCACATATCAGTCTCTGATACATATAGATCATGTAGATCAGAACTGTGCGCCATGCCGTTTTCGCGTCCATTTTTGGTCTATTTGGCGTTATGGAGTTTGGCGTATTTCAAGAATTTGAAAAATTGGAGTTTGGCGCGCCACGCGAAAATTTTGGCGCACAGCCCTAATGTAGATGATAATAGTAAAAAAATTCAAGACCGCATAACTTACCCACACTAAGCATAATAATCAAAAATCTTTAAAAATTACCGAAGTGCTAGCACGCCTAGGTATTTTACTAACACCTACTCCCACAAGGAGATGACGTCGAGAGTTGCGCCTATTGTCATTGACGTTTGAATTTTCAAAAATAGAGGGTAAAGAAGACATTTTTTAAATTTTCTAAGATCGTTAAAATTTTAAAAATACCGTATACTCTCTAATAGAAGGTCCCCCTCTAATAGAAGGGCCTCTCTAATAGAGTGGCCCTTTGGAGGATGATTGAAAATAGAAGGGCCTCCTCCAGTTGAATGGCCCCTCTAATAGAGTGGCCCCTTGGAGGATGATTGAAAATAGAATGGCCCCTCTAATAGAAGGGCCTACTCTAGTTGAATGGCCCCTTCCTAATATAGCCCCTTGTTAATGATTGGACAGTAGAAGGGCCCCTTCTAGTTGAATGACCCTCTCTAATAAAAGAGCCCCCTCCAGTTTATATTCATACTTTATATTCATACCCCCTCTAATTGAAAGGCCCCTTCCTAATATAGCCCTTTGGAGAATGATTGGAAAATAGAAGGGCCAGCCGTTTTATTAGCGAGAATACGGTAATTCAAAAATTTTATTTTTAATTGCCTAGTTGTTTTATTGGTTCTACTTGACTTTATGAGTCCAATCGAATTTTATGAGTCCAAATAAAACTTTATGAGTCCAATCAAAGTTTATGAGTCCAAACAAAACTTTATGAGTCCAATCACATTTTATTAGATTCTATTAAATAATACATTTATTAAATAATACAATAAAAATGAATAGGCTTATGTTGTTAGACCTATGAAGTATAGGCGAGACGCTTGTGCAAAACCCCGCACTTCGCGCGGGGTTTTGCGGCACGCGCCTCGCGGGAGTCAACGGTCGCTGGGTTCTGGGTCGGCAACATAAACCTATCCCTTTTTTCATCACCAGCTTTGATCTGGCGACCTACCCCCGTAGCTCACAAAAATCTGATTGGACTCATAAACTGTGACTGGAATCATAAACTGTAGTAGAACCACAATTTTTACTTAGAATAAAAAGACATGTCGGATTTATAAAATTTGTTTGGACTCATAAATTTTGATTGGACTCATAAAATTCGATTGGACTCATAAAGTTCGATTGGACTCATAAAGTCAAGTAGAACCGTTTTATTTGCCTTAAAATGTGTTAAGAGAATATATGGAATATGAACGTATAAAATATGCATAATATAAAATACATTTTTCTAAGCAGCTAATTGTTAATTATTAAACATTTCTTTGTTAATAATTTATTTCCTAGACCAGCGGTGTTTAAAAGAAAAATTTTTAGCATCGCTGAGAAAAAGCGGGGTTTATTTTAAAAATTCGTTTTTTGAACGATAACAGTACTACGTTTACATCGGATTGCCAAACGTTTTGCTTCTGAATTTTTATCTCAATGTAAACGACACACGTACCACTCGACGTTCAACACTTGACAGTCGTCCATGTTGAGCGTTGAATCCGTGAGTGTGTAGGGAGAAGTAGGGAGACTACTGTAGAAAGTAGAGAGGGGCCGGGTTAAGAAAAGGGGTCGAGCTTCTTTCAAGAATGGGCCGGGTTACGCGTTTCGGGTAACCCGGCAATTCTTGGTAGAAGAGGTTGATTCGATTTAAATAGGGATGAAGCTGAACGAATTCTGTGCGGAAGCTGACTGAAGCTGAGGGATTAGCTGACTGTTAAATTTTCTAGACCAAAAATTTTTTCAGAAATTTTTGTAAAGCCATTATAAAGTATGAATAGAAAGAGTGGAAATAATTAAAATAAAAATTTAAATAATGAAAAAATAAAAAAATAATAAAATAAAGAAAAAAAAGTAACAGATACAAAAAAGAGGAATGAAAAAAAAATAATTTCCGGCCTGCGCAAAGCAATTAAAGTACTATTTGCCCTTTGAATAATTTTTTTGAATGCGCAATATAAAATTTTTACTAGGCATAGGAACCAAATTTTGTTTAAATCTTCCTATTATTAATGCAAATTCAAAAAAATAATGCCCCTCTCTCAACTAAGTTAAAACAATAATTACATATCCATTTACTCAATTAAATGCCCTTCTCTTCAGAGGAGGGCTCATCTCCTCTAATTAATACCCCATACAATGAAAGATCAAAATAATAATTACCCAGGGCATTTACTTGAGTACACACACGGTAGGGTGCGTGAATACGTATCCAGAAAAATCCCGGATATCCGGAAAATTTCGGATCGGATATCATATACGGTATCTGGGGATTTTCCCAGATCCGCAAACCTAAGTACCCAGGGCAATTACCGTAACTGCTCTAATATGCAATGGACATATATTCTTCAATGTGTCAATTTGATTGGGCGTCTATTAAAGACTGGGCTTCTATTAGAGACTGGGATTATATTGCCCCGATGGGTCTTCTTAGGTGGGCATGTATTAGATATGGGTCTCCTTAGGTGGGCTTTTATTAAATATGGGCCTCCTTGGGGTCCTCCTTGAGTGATGGGCCTACTTGGTGAGCCTCCTTGAGTAATGGGCCTCCTTGGGGTCCTCCTTGAGTGATGGGCCTTCTTGGTGAGCCTCCTTGAGTAATGGGCCTCCTTGGGGGTCCTCCTTATGTGATGGGCCTCCTTGGGCAGTCTTGTATTAGATATGGGCTTCTAATAGAGCTGGGCTTTAATTAGAGCATTTACTGTAATTCAAAATTCTCTCAAATCAAACTTGCCGTAAAATACTCGTCCCCGTCCTTATAGAAAAAGACAGTTTTCGCCCTTCTAGTTTCAGCTACAGCCAAAGCTTTGGAAGTTACCACGGATGGAAGCGATTTTTGAGTGATGCGTTTTTCGGCTTGTTTGGCCGCCTGCTTCTTAAGTGTTAATTGATATTTTTTGTAAAATTAAAATTACAATTTGAGGCAAATTAGGAAACAAATCGTCTGGTAGCAAGGGAATAGAGCCTCTTAAAGAATTACTGACTATCTGACTGCGTTTCCTTTGTAGTTTTCTGTATTTTTGAGATTCTGATGAAGAGTTTTTTGATTCTGAAGTTTAGTTTTAAAAAAAATTTCGAGTCGGAGCATGACTATAAAATATGTGAAGAGAGGGGAGATCAGGTGACGGGTTGAATATTTATCAAAAGAGTGAAGTAGCACCCCGTAAACAGTGATGTGGGGGTTCGGGTTACGGTTCCGTAACCGGCGTAGTTCCGGTTCCGGTTCGAAACCGGAACCATGGAACCGGTAAAGGTCCGGAACCGGTTCACTTCTTTCCAATTTTAGTTTAAGTTGAGCATCCCTTTAAAATATCCCCAAGAAGAATATCCTTTGCTTACTAGACGGTGGGTATTCAAGGGGTATTTTATAATGCTGTTCGACTGATTTTTGGTAGGATAGTGGGTGAGGGAGCTCCCTAAGCGATACACTCTATTTAATAAACCTCTATTATAAGATACTTTTTTTGGCTTTAAGGGTGTGTTTTTAGCGAGGAACGAGTAATAACACCCCATTCTCTAATTTTTTAATTCCATAAATTTCCAAACTTGCCTGATCCAGAGCTTAAATTAGCAGCTCTTTTATTGCGCGGACTGTCAAAAGACATTTAAAAATAAATTTTAACCTAAAATGAATTTTAAATTAATCAAATAAGTTTTGAAACAGGCTAAAAATCTTGGGGTATATTTAAGTAGCAGTTAAATCCTGGCCAAATAACTCATGAAGAGATGGTCACTTTTTCATTATTTTGGTACCTTTAGATAGAGAATTTATAGGGCTACAATACTTCAAAAAATCAAAATTTTTGACAAATTGCTCAAAAAATCAAATCAAAAAACTAGTCTTTTTCAAAGAAATGTGATTCTTTGGCACTTTATCGATCATAACTTTTTTACGAGTAAGTCTAAAATTTTGATTTTCTGGAATATTGTAGCCCTCTTAATTCTCTATAGAATGATACCAAGAACATTAAAAAATATCAGGCCTTTCATAAGTTATAGGGCTCAGAGCTGAACTGATTCGGGACTGAATTGGAGTGTACCGGGCACTTTATCGATCACAACTTTTTTACCAGTAAGTCTAAAATTTTAATTTTCTGGAATAATGTAGAGTATTCAATTCTCTATCGATTGGTACCAAGAACTTGAAAAATTGACCATCCCTCCCTGAGTTATAGGGCCGGAACTGAACTGAGGTGTAACCATATTTAATCAATTAAACACCAAATTAGAAAAAAAAACACAAAAGCCAAGGTAACCCAAAATTGATTTTAATTTTGTGTTTACGAAGAAAAAAGAAAGAATATATAATTAAAAGAAAGAGAAAGGTGTGAAAAATGCTTTAATTGGCAGTCGAGAATGAAGGCTTTATAGCCCTCACGTGTAAGCGCGCAAAGAAAGGAACGCTTTCTTTTAATAAAAATTGTATTTTAAAATAAGAATAAGTATTAAAAAAATATTTTTAAAATAAAAAAAATTAATTTTCGAGGAAAGGGAAGTAAAAGTTTTGAGAGAAAATGAGCGTGTGTGGTATAAATGAGCGTTAGAAATTAGGGTCGGTATATTCGAAATTTGACGTGATTCAGGATATCTAGAGATTTCCCCAGATCCACCGGCCAATACTAACCAAAACCTCAAATATAAAGCAAAAGATTGGAGGATCCAAAGAGTTGGGAGGATCCAGAGAGTTGGGAGGATCCAGAGAGTTCTCCAACTCAAGAATGTTAGACGTTCAACCATCCTACCATTCGAATATTAAGGACTGTGAGGTAAAAGGGTTTGAGAGAAAAATGAGTGTGGGTGTGTCCTAGAAAATGGCAAAAGATTGAATGATGAAGCAGAAAAATGTAGCCGCTAAAATCCCTCAATACCCCCTTTAATGCCTCTATATCCCCTTGATCTCTCGATATCCACTTTATCCCTCGATATCCATTTTATCCCCTTGATATCCTCCTCTTAATCCAACTCAATCCCTTTAATCCCCGATATCCCATTTAATCACTCGATATCTCCTTTGATCCCTCTTATCCCCTATGATCTGTTACTCTTTATGTAATGGATTGTCGGGTGCACGTTATTCTAAAATTAAAAAATTAATTTTCGAGGAAAGAGAAATAAAGGGGTTTAGAGAAAACTAAGTGAGAGAGCGTGAGAGGTTGAAGCGAGAGAGTAATAATTAGGCAAATATTGGAGCACTACTCAACAAATAATAAGACAATGAATTTGATATAAACAAGAGGTAAAGTAACGAGTTTGGAAAAGAATAGTGATCGAATATAGCCAAAATATCGAGCGATCGAGCTCGTGTACCCAGCCCCGTTCGGTTGATCTAGTCTGATTTAAAAACCCACTTAAGTTTGTTAACCGTTCCCCCATTCTAACACGGACTGATGGATTTCAATCTTGCTTCTTGCTAGTCTGAGAGGAAACTTTACTGGTTTTAAGTAAATTTTAAAAGAAAAATGAAACTCTTGAAAATAAAATAAACGGAGGCTTAAAATCTTCTAAGTATTAGTTATAAATTCAAAATTGTTCACGCAATTGGTCATGCACTTAAAAAATTCTATAGACAAAAGGCTTCTTTCTTTAGAAAATTAATTGGAAGGCATTAGGAAGCCAGTAAATTTTGAAAAGAAGAGATTATTAAATATGTAAATATGTGGGATAATTAAATAACAGGTTGTGGTTGTATTTTAGATACAGTATTTAATGCTGATTCTTATGGTATATACTATCATAGATGCCCACGTATCACCATCGAGAAAATCAAATTTGAAAATAAAAATTTAAAAATAATTATAAATTGTATTATATCTTATGGTATATTGATTGGGTACATGGGATTTTCTTCGAGGGATTATAACTTTGGGGTAATGGAAGTATATTAATTCGGCTCACCATTTTTATGGACAGTTATTAATGTACTTTCAAATGAGCTATAGTTTATCTCTATACGATAAGATTTCAGAAAAAATTTTTGTTTTACCCCAATATTTTGAAAATAAATAAAATTTATTTTGGGATTTTATTCGAGGGATTATAACTTTGGGGTAATGGAAGTATATTAATTCGGCTCACCATTTTTATGGACAGTTATTAATGTACTTTCAAATGAGCTATAGTTTATCTCTATACGATAAGATTTCAGAAAAAATTTTTGTTTTACCCCAATATTTTGAAAATAAATAAAATTTATTTTGGGATTTTATTCGAGGGATTATAACTTTGGGGTAATGGAAGTATATTAATTCGGCTCACCATTTTTATGGACAGTTTTTAATGTACTTTCATATGAGCTATAGTTTATCTCTATACGATAAGATTTCAGAAAAAATTTTTGTTTTACCCCAATATTTTGAAAATAAATAAAATTTATTTTGGGATTTTATTCGAGGGATTATAACTTTGGGGTAATGGAAGTATATTAATTCGGCTCACCATTTTTATGGACAGTTTTTAATGTACTTTCATATGAGCTATAGTTTATCTCTATACGATAAGATTTCAGAAAAAATTTTTGTTTTACCCCAATATTTTGAAAATAAATAAAATTTATTTTGGGATTTTATTCGAGGGATTATAACTTTGGGGTAATGGAAGTATATTAATTCGGCTCACCATTTTTATGGACAGTTTTTAATGTACTTTCATATGAGCTATAGTTTATCTCTATACGATAAGATTTCAGAAAAAATTTTTGTTTTACCCCAATATTTTGAAAATAAATAAAATTTATTTTGGGATTTTATTCGAGGGATTATAACTTTGGGGTAATGGAAGTATATTAATTCGGCTCACCATTTTTATGGACAGTTATTAATGTACTTTCAAATGAGCTATAGTTTATCTCTATACGATAAGATTTCAGAAAAAATTTTTGTTTTACCCCAATATTTTGAAAATAAATAAAATTTATTTTGGGATTTTATTCGAGGGATTATAACTTTGGGGTAATGGAAGTATATTAATTCGGCTCACCATTTTTATGGACAGTTTTTAATGTACTTTCATATGAGCTATAGTTTATCTCTATACGATAAGATTTCAGAAAAAATTTTTGTTTTACCCCAATATTTTGAAAATAAATAAAATTTATTTTGGGATTTTATTCGAGGGATTATAACTTTGGGGTAATGGAAGTATATTAATTCGGCTCACCATTTTTATGGACAGTTTTTAATGTACTTTCATATGAGCTATAGTTTATCTCTATACGATAAGATTTCAGAAAAAATTTTTGTTTTACCCCAATATTTTGAAAATAAATAAAATTTATTTTGGGATTTTATTCGAGGGATTATAACTTTGGGGTAATGGAAGTATATTAATTCGGCTCACCATTTTTATGGACAGTTTTTAATGTACTTTCATATGAGCTATAGTTTATCTCTATACGATAAGATTTCAGAAAAAATTTTTGTTTTACCCCAATATTTTGAAAATAAATAAAATTTATTTTGGGATTTTATTCGAGGGATTATAACTTTGGGGTAATGGAAGTATATTAATTCGGCTCACCATTTTTATGGACAGTTTTTAATGTACTTTCAAATGAGCTATCGTTTCTCTATATACGATAAGATTTTTGAAAAAATTTTTGTTTTACCCCAATATTTTAAAAATAAATTTAATTTATTTTTGTATTTTCTTCGAGGGATTATAACTTTGGGGTAATTGAAGTATATCAATTCGACTTACGATTTTTATTATCATCTAAAAATGTACTTTCAAATGAGCTATCGTTTCTCTATATACGATAAGATTTTTGAAAAAATTTTTGTTTTACCCCAATATTTTGAAAATAAATTTAATTTATTTTTGTATTTTCTTCGAGGGATTATAACTTTGGGGTAATTGAAGTATATCAATTCGACTTACGATTTTTATTATCATCTAAAAATGTACTTTCAAATGAGCTATCGTTTCTCTATATACGATAAGATTTTTGAAAAAATTTTTGTTTTACCCCAATATTTTAAAAATAAATTTAATTTATTTTTGTATTTTCTTCGAGGGATTATAACTTTGGGGTAATTGAAGTATATCAATTCGACTTACGATTTTTATTATCATCTAAAAATGTACTTTCAAATGAGCTATCGTTTCTCTATATACGATAAGATTTTTGAAAAAATTTTTGTTTTACCCCAATATTTTAAAAATAAATTTAATTTATTTTTGTATTTTCTTCGAGGGATTATAACTTTGGGGTAATTGAAGTATATCAATTCGACTTACCATTTTTATTATCATCTAAAAATGTACTTTCAAATGAGCTATCGTTTCTCTATATACGATAAGATTTTTGAAAAAATTTTTGTTTTACCCCAATATTTTAAAAATAAATTTAATTTATTTTTGTATTTTCTTCGAGGGATTATAACTTTGGGGTAATTGAAGTATATCAATTCGACTTACCATTTTTATTATCATCTAAAAATGTACTTTCAAATGAGCTATCGTTTCTCTATATACGATAAGATTTTTGAAAAAATTTTTGTTTTACCCCAATATTTTAAAAATAAATTTAATTTATTTTTGTATTTTCTTCGAGGGATTATAACTTTGGGGTAATTGAAGTATATCAATTCGACTTACCATTT